CCCAGAAGCAGTGGGCACTCCCCTCTGCAGTGACAGGCACCAGGACTCCCTGAGAAGTGGCTCGCTCCAGAACGGACGTGGAGTGCAGAAATGAGCCTGGAGTACCTGGTGGCCCCAGAGAGGAGTGATGTGCAACCACCCACAGCCAACCAAACAAAAGCAACCCCGCAGCAGGACTGGGGGCGATGGGGAGGGTGGAGGGCATAGGGACCCTGTGGGACAAGCTGAGCTGCAAATCAGTGACCTCGTGCTGGGTTACAGCCTAAGCCGTATAACCCCAAGTCCAGACAAATACAAGCAATAATCACACAAAGCGACAAACAGGACAGCAGAGACAAATCTCCCGTGCAAACCCCTTTCCATCGCTATGGGTCACAGCAACTTTCTTCCCAGCAGCACAGTGCACCCAGTGGCCAATGCCGCTCTGGCCATGTCGCCTGACCTCCTGGCCCCTGGGTTGGGACCACCTGGCTGTGAGCCCAGCCTCACACTCCAAGACCCCTGCTCTCAACCGCCACAGTCGACCCCTAACTGCCCACTGGCTTTCAGCTTCTGCATGGCTTCAGGTCATACCCATGACCTTTCCACTGCCCAGAACCTCCCTTCCCCCGGCCCCTTCTGCACGGGCCAGACGTCAGCTCCGGGACACTGGGCGTCATCTCCACATGGCCCTGAGCCTGGGAAGTGTCTGTCCAGGAGGGTCTTGTCACAGGTGCCCATCACAGGGACAGCTCGTGGGAAGGAGACCCTCCGGACCACCTGCCTAGGCTGCTCCCCCTGAAATCCGTGGGTCCAGAGGGATCCCCCAAATGGCCCTTCTCTGCTGAGGTGGAGACAAGCCCAGACACATCTCATCACTTTGGACAGGGCTGCACTGGGCGGCCCGGACAGCGGGACGGTGTGGAGTCGCCCGTCACCCGTCACCCGCTGTGTCCTCCTAGGCTCAGCCAAGTCATGGCAGCTTCTTTAGCCCCAGACCCGTGGTGTGAAGTCTGCCTCACAACTCATTGTTTACTCAAGGCTCCTGTGGGCCGGCATGTGGAGACAGCAGGACAGGAGGGACAGCAGACCCTTGCGCACCCGTCAGCTCCATACCCCTTTCCACAGCACACGGTCCCCCGACTCCCTCCAGCCCCTATGCCCGTCACTCAGGGGAAGCACATGCTGACCCATGTACCCTCTGGCCAGAGTCAAACTGGGGGGATCTCGGCCGGCAGAGCAGCTGGACTCTGCTGTCTGTCCACAGTTCCCCCAGCTCCTTGCGGAGAGGGCTTGGGGCAGCTTTCAGGCAGGGCGGTGCCCTCAGCACCTGCCGGTGCTCACGCCCACCAGGCCCAGAGGGGCCCCGCCTGCGACGCCCGGGGGGGGGGGCAGTGCCGGCACCACGCCCACAACACGGCACAGCTGCCACCTGCCCCTCGCCCTGGAGCTTGCCCAGGTGACCACAGCCCTGCCCATCCCTGTCCAGGGATAGCGGGGATCTGGACCCCCGCCAGAGGGCCGGGAGGCAGGCCCGCTGGGCGGCGGTGCAGGTACCTGGCCGCGGCGTGTCTCGCAGTTGTGCAGGTAGCTCAGGTGGTAGATCTTCAGGTTCAGCATGGCAAAGTTCAGGTACTTTAGGAAAACCTGGAATGGGAGTCACACAAACAGGCATGAAAGCCTGGTTTTCAGCTGTGCGTGCAGCCGCGCGTCTGTGGGTCTCTGCACAGGGGCCGTGGACGGCACGCGGGTGCCTGCCTGCATGAGCGTGGGCACGGACGATGTCGACAGCCGCACGCGCCCCAGCACAGGGTAGAGGCCCCAACACTCACGTCCTCATCCTCACTGGTGAAGCACGGGCCATCCAGCTTGTTCAAGGCCATGATCACAGCCACCACGTCCTTGCCATTCATGACGGGTGTGGCCAGGATGTTCCTGGTCACGTAGCCGGTCAGCTCGTCAGCGAAGGGGCTGAAGTGGGAGTCCTGTGAGGCAACCGGAGGAAGGACAGAGGCTGTTGCTCTGGGGACCTGGGGTTGGAGCGACCTCCATGGAGACCCCCCGGTGAGTGCTGACCCCCCATGACCCTACCCTTGGCATCAGGAGCCCAAGAAGTGCAGGAGGACACAGCACTGGCCTGTCCTTGGACGCCGGCCTGGCTCAGACTCTGTCACCCCAGCTTGGAGCCAGTGACCCCACTCTGCAGCCTAGACTCTGCAGAATCCTCACAACACCTCCTGTCCTGTGCCCACCTCACCCCCAGGCCGTGGGCAGGCCTGGGTGCCCCTCCGCAGCCCTTCCCACTCCAGGTCTCAGCTCCTCCAGCAGGTGGCTGCCTGGGCCAGCCCCGCCGGCTTCTCTCAGAACAGAAAGTGTGAGCTCAGTGTATGGGGAGCATTAGTCTGCTTGGTGGCATGTTTGTGGGACAGACTTGTCTCTGAGCAGAGTGGGGCAGCCTCAGACCCACTGCACCCTAAACCTCCTTCCCAGAACCACCTGCCTCCTGTGCCTCCTTTCCAGGGATGGGCCCTCCCCAACCCGCCCCACGGAGGTGGCCCGGTGGCCCCTTGGCAACTCCCTCCCACCCCAACCCTGGAAGATTACAAACCTTGTGAGTTCTCTAAAGTGTCCCCAACTCTGTTCCCACTGCCCAGACCTACGTCAGGATCCCTGGGCCTCCACCCACCCCCTGGGTTTCCCATGCCCCACACAGCCGGTCCTGCCGCTCCCCTCCCCCCCGTGGCCGGGCTGTCCTGGCTCCCGGGAGCTTCCCTGCAAAGCCCTGTCCCTAATGCCAGCCCTGCGCCCCTCGGCCTCACACTGCTGGCCACCACAACTGGGCCCAGACTCCTTGGCTATTCACAGGACCCATGGCAAGGTGTTTGTGGCCCGCAGCCCTCTGGGTGGGGAGAAGGGTCAGGGAGCACGGAGCCAGGACCTGGGGCTAGATCTGCCGGAGGGTTGGTGGCCATAGTTGAGCCACAGCCCTTCCATGACCTTCTGCCACCTGCTTTGCCACAAGCCCTTGCAGGTCTGGGAGCTGCACAGGAGTGTTGACATCGCAGCCCTGTGGGTCCCCCTGCCCACCCTGCACCCTTGGCCCCCAGGTGTGTCTGCTGCGTGCACAGGCTCACACCTGGCTCCGTAGCAGCCCCCTCTTGTCCCTGCCCTCTGAGCAGGGTGCTGGCACCGAGGGCACAGCCCAGGCTCTGCCTCAGCCTCCCCTCTGTACAACCACCTGAAACCTGATGCCTGGAAACGCGGGGGGTTGTTGACACAGGATGGAGTTCGCTTTTCTGTGGGTTTTGCCTGTGGTCTCTCTTCCTTGGCACCTGAGACAAGCCCCGCATGGCCTTGGGGATGAACCCCGTGTTGGGCCTGCCCCTCAGGCTCTGGTCCACGATGCCAGGCAGCTGGGAAGACGTCTGAGGGAGGCTGGAAGGCACCAGGGAGACAGCCCTGCCAGGGAGGAACATGGCCTGGGACAGCCCTGAAGCTTGAACCAGACCCTTGGAGAGGCCACAGGGCACCCAGAGCACTGGCGGGGACGAGGCTGGAGGACGAGCCCTGGGGCCAGAAGGGACCAGACCCGGCAGAGGTGGAACACCCCCGCCCCCCTGTGGGTCCGCTCTGTGTCCAGGAAACTCATGCTCCTGATATTCCGATGCTTGGGTGACCCTTTCTCAAGAAGGAAGTGAAGGCAAGGCTAATCCCCGAGATTACTCTATTCAGGTCGCTGGATGGTGGCTGGTTTAGAGCAGATAAGTTTAAGAGGATTGCAGCCGGCTGCTTCCTCTCCAGGCACCGGGGCTCTCGGGGTCTGTTCATATGCCCATGTGTCTCTAGGGACAAGGGGGCAGTGGGTGCATGGGGGGATCAGCCCCTATGGGCTCCTTCTCGGGAGCAGAAGAGATTGATCCAGGTCATGGTTCCCACTTCCAGTTCCCAGGCCCGCCTCTCCCCAACCCCAACCCTAACCCTCCCACATGTGACGTCCCCTCCCTAGCCCCCGACCCCTCCACCCTGGGCCCAGTATTGTGGCTCCCAAATGGCTCCTTCCCACCCACAAGCTCTCGTCTTCTTGAACCTTGGAGCCCCTGTGCTGCTATCCACCCTCCGCCCCAGCCACCCCCTCCCTGCTGCTAACCCCCAGTTCTGACCCCGCCCCCAAGCCCTGTCCAGGGAGCCCCAGCTCAGGGGCGGTGGGACCTGACCAGGACCCCTCCCAGGTGCCTGAGGAACTGCTTCCTTCCCACAAGCTCTGGCCAACCTGCCCCTGCCCCCCACCCTGCCACCTTCCCAAGCACCCCCACAGGGCCATAGCTGATCTGTCCCACGGGCTTGGGGGACCCTCACAGCCCTGCAAGGTAAGGCCCAGAACCCACCTCGGTCACGTCCTTGACATTCACCATCTTCTTGGTCTGAGCCACATGGCCTACGACCCCAATGTCCAGGGGGAAGACAATCTCGGAGTCAGGGGGCACCAGGCAGTCCTCCAAGGCACTGCCCGGCTGCACGCTGAAGAGGCGTGTGGCGAGCTCGGCCACGCCGTTGCGCTGGCGGAACATGAAGAGGCTGCAGCGGTCAGCGCGCAGCATGGGGCAGAGGCGGCGCAAGATCTTGAAGACCACGCGCTCCATGTTCACACTCTCCTGCATGTCCTGCACCAGCTCGAACAGCGCTGCGCTCTCCTCCACCTGGCACAGCTCCCGGAAGCTGGCGCTGTCCACCGGGAGCCCGTCTTCGCAGGCCCGGGCCACATCCTCGGGGCTGAGCTTCTTCCCTTCAAAGTACTGGTCCGCAAAGCCCGGGTTCTGGTCCAGGTACTGCCTCACCTGCTCTTCGCTGAGGCTCATGGTGTCCGGCCGCCTGTCCTGGAAACGCCGTCCTCCCCAGGTGCACAGGGGCTCCCCGCAAACACTGTCATCAGCAAAGCCTTTCTTAGTGATGATTAGAGGCCGGGGAGGGCACCAGCTGACGCACCCGCGCCGGCCCCCCTCGCCTTGGTCCTGGACTCGCTGCCTCCGCTGGGGAGAATGGAACTTCGGGAGACAGTTTGGGGGTTCCTGCCTGTGAACAGCTGGGGCAGGTGCTGGCTTCCCGTGGAGGGAAGTGACCCTTTCCACCTAGTCCCTCAGGTAGCCCCAGGTCTCCTTGGTGCCCAGACCTGGGCTCAGGTGTGCTGGGCAGGTGAAACACCAGCCTGCCTTGGGGAGATGCACCCCAGTCCCAGGCAGGGGTCCCTGCAGGGCTGGGGCAGGTGTGCAGGTACAGCGTGGGCCCCACTCCCACAGAGGGAGCTGGGGACAAGTGAGGAAGGTGGGCCAGCACCTGGTGTGGAGGGAGGGCTCACACGCACTTTCCCTCCTCCTCGCTGGTGGAGGGGCTCCCTGGGCATTCAGCCTGGCAGGTGGGCAGTCTGCACAGGAGCCGGTCACCGGGACGCAGGGCAGGGCTTCTCTGTCGAGCTGGTGCCCTTCGTTCAGCAGTCCGGCTGAACGCCGCCACGGCCGCCCCTGCGCCCTGCTCCTCCGACGAGCGCACCTTCATCTGTCCACGGTCACATCGCCACGCTCCACGGACAAGGTCGCTCCTGAGCATCTGTGCCTCGGACAGCACCGCGTGCCGGGACAGCAGCGGGGCCTTGCCGCCAGCTCCCTCCCTGCCCCGGTGCCGGCGGGCGTCAGCCGCCCTGGGAGCTGCGATGCAGGAGGAGGCTGAGTCACAGCGGAGGGCTCGCCCGCATTGTCTGCCGCTCCTACCACCGGAGTGTCCTTCCCTGCACAGAAAGAGACTGTGCAAGTGTGTGGGCGTGTGCACATACAGGTGAGTGCACACACGTGTGTGCTGGGTGTGCGTGTGCATGTGGACCTGCGGGCTTCTAGAAGGCTGTGGGGAGGAGCTCTGTCCATGGGGAGGACCAGGGCGCACACCACTCAGCAGAGCCTGGCGGCACCTGCCATCGAGACTCACCTGAAGCAGCGGCCGTAAAGCGTGCTAAGCAGGCCGGTCACAGAGGGGCCGGCAGAGCCCCTCAGGTGGAAGGATTCCAGTCCCTCGTAGCCATGAGCCTTGACAGAGGAGAACGGCTGTGGGGGTTTGTGCCTTCCTCTCATGGCCTGTGTCCACGCCGTCACCCCCCTGCTCATCAGGACACGGGGCTCCCGTGTGGTCCTGACGTCCGCAGGACTCAGCGGTATGTGTGTGCCTGTGAGTGTGCACGTATGTGCATGCAGTGGGCACGCAGAGCCCCGGGGACCTTCTGGGCCCTGCAGCTGTGACGGCCACAATGGCCCAGCTGGCCAGTGGCAGGCGAGGGCGCTGTGATGTTCCTGCCTCCGCCGAGTCACGCAGCCTGTTCCTTTCAGGGCTCTGCTCGAAGGCCCCACTTCTGCTAAAAATAACGGGCTCTGACTGGGGGTGGGGAGCAGTGGGGGTGGCCCCGTGAGGCGCTTGGATCCAGGGCTAGTTGCAGTCACCTTGCGCTGCATTCAGCCCTGGTGGCTCCCGGAGCACTGTCCCCAGGCACCCTGCTTCTGGGCCTGGGTGTGCAGGGCGGCCGGGAACCTGGTGCTTTGGGTGCACTCCCCAAACCCTCAGCTGAGCCCACCCTGAGGCCCACTCTGGGTGCTGCAGCCCCGCAGACCCTGCCAGCCATCCTCCTCCGCTCTTTCGTCCCTCCTACGGACGGCCGCAAAGCCAGGCCGTGGGCACGAGACTCCGGGGGTTGCAGCAGGGCACCCTGGGCCTGGGCTCGGACACGTACCCGCTGGAGGCAGAGCCTTCACGGCTGACAGCAGACAGGGCCTCGCTCACCCCGCCTGCTCCCTGGCTGGGCATCAGCTGACACCATCCAGGGAGGGAGGCAGAACCTCTCAGACTCAGAATTCTGACGTTTCGTTTCACTGAATCAAAGGACCAAGGCTATGAGCGCCAGCCAGACAGCATGCAGCCAGCATGGGATGGGCTAGTGGCGTGCACAGGGGTCCTGGGGACAGGGAAGCAGGAGCCAATGTCCCTCAGTGCCCAGGGGCTTGTCTGAGAAGGCTGCAGTGCATTAGCTCCTGACTTTCGCTTTTTAACCAGAAATCTGCCAGTGACCTGCTTTGGAAACAAAGTCTCTGCAGACGCAGCCAGCGTGAGAGGGCCCGTCGGGGCCACGCTGGACTCTGCGTCTTCCTGGGGAAAGGTGCAGGCCCAGGCCACTGGCGGGTGGAGGCGAAGCTGGAACGACACGTCTGGAAGCACTGCCGGTCGGTCACCATCCGGCTGCAGAGAGGCTGGGGACATGTGCCCCTTGGGTGCCAAGAGGGAACTGGCCCCTGGCGCCGTCCCTAGAGACAGCACATGCCCGGAGCGTGGAGCCCCCCACTCGCTGTCTGTGGTCGGGCTGCCCTCGGAGACTAATGTGGACAGCGGGTCAGGTGTGCCTCGGGCGGTTGCCTGCCCAGTCGGGGCCCCTGCAGCCTCATCCTCCCCGCCGGTCACTGACTGGGGGCCAGCCCAAGCCGCCTCATGGCTTCCTGACCACGGCCAGTCACGGAGGCCGGTTAGCCTTCCTCCACTCTGGCCACACACAGAGGGGCCCGGTGCCCCTGTCCCGCAGCCTGGGGACCGCATGGCTGAGGCAGAGCCGGGACGGCAGCGGGCAGAGCAGGATGATTTGCAGGGATGGAGTGGGACCTGCCCTCCTCCATCAGCCCCCGAGCTGCCTCCCTGCATCCAGTTCAGTTGCCGTCGGCAGCAGGCCTCTCCAAAGAAACAGAGCCATTGGTGCAGAGAAGAAAGGAGGCCTGAAGGAACCGCTGAGGAGGCTCTGGGGCACACAGGTCCCTCCAGGAGCCGCCTGTCAGCTGGAGTCTTGGGGAGCTGGTGCCAGACAGGGGCTCCCAGCTCAGCTGTGCATCCTCCACCCGCCCTGTTTGAGCGCTTGCGTTGGGTGAGGCTGTCTGCTGCCCGACCCCGCTGCCAACCTCATCTGAGAAGACCCTCACCGACCCACCCAGAATAATGTTTAGCCAACACACAGGCACCCCGGGACCCAGCTGGGTTGATACAAAAATAAACATTGTGGTTCTTAAAGGTCAGCAATTCGACCCCACAGAGCAGCTCTGAGCTCTGGGCTCCTCCGAGTCAAACTCAGCCGGTGACAGGGAGGCGCTTGTGCTCTGGTACTGGACACGGCCTGCCAGGGGCAGCTGTGCAGGTTGTGCCCCGCAGGGCGCCGTGGCTGGGGCCGAGCTGGCCCTGGTCTTAGCTGTGCATTCTCAGCCCTTCTGCTCACGGTCCCAGAGGAGGCCCCTGGCTCCAGCTGGCCTGGGAGGCCACCCTGAGGCCGCCCCCAGCACCACACCCCCGGCAGGTGAACACATCCCACAGCCTCATGGGCACAGCGGCAGGGCGCTGGCTTGGAGGCAGGCTTGCTGAGTGGGCACCGGCAACTGGGCACTCACCGCCAAGGCCGGGCCCTGCTCCGGGCAGCTGGGCAGTGGAAGAGACCAGCTCTCAAGGCCCTAAACAGTGACCAAATGTGTCACCTCACACAGCCCATGTGGGGAGGTGGGAGGGGGGACCAGTGGTGGCCTGTGGTCCCTGTGGCTCTGGGGGTCCCCTGCTGGTGGCTGTCAGGGCTGCAGGCGCCCAGAGCCACCAGCAGATCCCAGGGGCTGCCTGGCTTAGCCCAGGGCCCAGGTAGTCAGAGCCCAGCAGCGTCCAGCTCGGAGCAGAGAGGGACCCCCCCAGGGCCAGGGCCCCAGGGAGAAGCTGGCGGTAGAGCCTGCATCACACGGACTCGCAGCCGCAAAGCCGGAGGCAGCTCCCCACTGGCCCTTGACGGAAACGTCTGCTGCCCCTCGTGGGGCTGCAGCAGAGCTCACCTCAAGCGACCCGGACGGGAGGGGGTCTGAGTGACACCGGGTCCTGTTAGCACCTGGCGGTGCCTGCTGAAGCCACGGAGGCTCGGTTCCCCTGCTCGGCCTGCTCGCAACCAGGCAGGGAGGCCGCTTGTCCCGAGTCCCCAGCACGGGAAGTGGGAGTGAGAGACAGACCAAACTCAACAGAAACAAGATAACAGGGGCAGAGGGGCCGGAGCCCCCCAGGGCTGATCGCAGAATGCAGGACCAGAAGGGTCATGTGAAAGTCTCCGGACTGAATACTCTGGCTCCAGGGATCGGTCCACTCGGAAGGGACTGCAGCCAGACGTGAAGTGGCTTCAGCACCTGCAGTCGGGACAGAACAGGACCCCGGCGGCCTTGGCTAGCAGACACGGGCAGGTGGGAGGGAGGGAGACCGTCGCTGCCCCAGGGGGCCGGCCCCCAGGCTGGGGCCCTGGGACGGAGAGGACACACGGGGCTCTCTTGCCGCCGTGAGACGTGCGTGAGGAGCAGCGTGGTCGTCATCGCCGGGGAGCGGGGTCACACCTGTCCTCCAGTTTGTCCGCGTGGTCGCCCCCGCACAGCCTCTCTGTGTCTCACTGGACCTGTCCTCCCTATGTGACCGAGCGCCCACCATCTGTCCCCATCCACCCACCAGCCCCTACTCGTCCCCCTCTGTCCTCCCGGCTCCCGTCTGCAGGTTCCACTCGCCCTTCCAGCACCTGCCACCACACAGCACCTTAAAAACTTGAGGGGGCACATATATAAAAAGTGAATTTTTCTTTTATGAATTCAAGTTCACACCAAGGGATTTAATTTACTTATTGTTATTTTAAGCCACTAAGCAATGTTTATAGCATTAAGTGATTACATAAGAAAAGAAATGTCTCAAATAGAACCAGAGAGACAGCAAACTAAGGCCCAAGTAAGCGGAGAAAAGGGGACAATAAAGAGCAGAAATCAATGAAATGGAAAACAGAAAATAAAGAAAATGACAAAACCAAAAACTGCTTTTTTAATTATCAAAAATATTGATAAACCTATAGCCAAATTTATCAAGAAAAAGCACACAGATCACCAATACCAGAAATGAAAGAGGGCATTTCATACCGATCCTAGAGACATAAAAGGAATGAAAAAGTTTTTAAAAAATCATTTCAGCTTTATTAAGGAACACTTTTCACACCATGAGAGGAGCGACCTGTGGGGCATGACGTGGCCGGGTCTATGCCAGCAAATCTAGAGAGCGCGGGGACAGTCTCCTCAAAGGACACCGCTGCCGCTCACTCCAGGAAAAAAATAACACAGACGGCCCTAAATGTGTTTAAACATTAAAGTCTCATCATCTCCCCAGAAAGAACACCTCCACCCTGGGCGGGCCGGCAGGTGAGCTCCGCCAGGTTCCTGAGCAGGCAACACGGCCGGCTGCGTGGCCTCTTACAGCAGGCGGAGAAGGGGGCCGCCCCGCTCATTTTACACCATCAGCCCCCAAACCCACTAAAACAAGGCAGAAACGTCGCGCGGAGAAAACTGAAAGCGAGGCCCCTCAGGGTCACGGACACAGGGCAGAGCGCGTGGTCCTCCTGCCCCCTCAGCTGCAAGAGCGGCTTTGTCTTTCCCTCCTGCAGGTGCCCCCGGCTGGTCCGTGCCCCCCCCCGCGTCTGTGCCACCCAGGGGGGCAGGTCTTCCTGTGTTGCCACAGGCAGGTGGGGGTGCTGTTCCCCAGGAAGCCACTGTGGGATGACCGCAGGGGAGTGACCTGCCCCGCCCAGTGGACCGGCCTCCACGTGTCTGTGTGGGCAGAGCCGGACCCCACTCCCAGGCCCTGGGGACACAGCGTGGGCCTTGGTCACAGGCAGCGGAGTCAGCCACCACATGGATGACTGAGAAAGAAAAGCCGTCAATAAGCTCGACAGACGCAACAGAAATAATGTGGACCAAGTCCACCGTCAGGGGAGGACTCTGAGACCAGAAATCGACACAACCTGACACGAGCTGTTTGCGAGAGACCTGCAGCTCCCGTCGCACTGGAGGCCTGGAGACCCGAGGCCCCTGAGACCACCCTGCCCGCTGCCGTGGGCACCCGGGCCTCGGGGACGGCAGGACAGGGAGCCACGGCGGCGGGGGAGGAAGCAGCGAGCACCTCCTCCTTCCCTGCAAGGCCGGGCACGACATGGTGAGGAGGCTACACAAATGGCCGCTGGACTGATGGTGGGTCGAGCCAGGTTGTAGAGTGAAAAGGCAGTCTTTAAAAATCGAGTGTGCGGCTGCAGCTGGTGTAGCTCAGTGGACTGAGTGCGGGCCTGAGGACCAAAGAACCGCCGTTCGATTCCCAGTCAGGGCACACGCCTGGGGTGCAGGCCAGTTCCCAGCAGGGGACTCATGAGAGGCGACCATACATTGATATTTCTCTCCCTCTCTCCTTCCCTTCCCCTCTAAAGATAAATAAATAGAATCTTTTTAAAAATCTGAAAAAGAAAAAACCCAAACGAGAGAATGGAAGTGACCTGGAGTCCCCCTGGGGACAGTGCCGGTCCTGGCTGTGGGCTGCTCGGTGTCCTGACCTGTCACCGCTGAACCGCGGAGACAGACCCCTGTGTGTTCCACCTCCCACTGCTTGTGATCTTCACCCATTTTAAAATAAAGTTAATTTAAAAAATCAATTGTATCATTACCCACTGGTAACAAGCCACTGGGCAATGAAATATTTAAAGTAACAAACACAAAAGCATAAAATACATGAAACACAGGTGAATTGGAAAACACGTGTGCGAGACCTATACACTGAAAACTGTAGAACATTAAGGGAAATATTGAAGCCCTAAGTACATGTAGCAATAACTCACGTTCATGGGTCAGAAGGTCCAACCCTGCCAGCGTGTCAGTCAGGCACGAATGACTGCACATTCCGTGGGGTCCCGACCGGAACCTTCACAGGCCTTTTCACTGCAGACATCAGCGGGCTGGCTCCCATGTCCTCGTGGACACGCAAAGGGTCCAGACCGGCCAGAACGACTCTGGGGCTGGAAAGCTGGAGGACTCACCCTGCTTTTGAGACTGACTGGGGCTGCAGTGAGGGCAGATTCGGGCGGGGGGGATGCAGACCCACGTTCCCACAGGCGACCGGCCTTCAGTGAAAGGGCCCAGGTGGTTCGATGGCAGAGGCACCGTGTTCAGCAAAGTGCTGGAACCACCGACATTGCGTGTGAAGATGAAAACCTTGGCCATCGCTTCACAATGCACACAAAAAGTAGCTGAAAGGGAATCACAGATAAATATGTAAGAACTAAAACTACAAACTTTTTAGAAAATAGAAGATAATGTTGTAACCTTGGATCAGGCAAGTATTTCCTAGATATAAAAACCATAAAATAAAGAAGCAGTAAATTTCCCCTGGCTGGTGTAGTTCAGTGGGTTGAGTGCCAGCCTGTGAGCCAGAGTCACCAGTTGGATTCCCAGTCAGGGCACGTGCCTGGGTTGCAGGCCGGTCCCCAGTGGGGGCCTGTGAGAGGCAACCACACACGGCTGTTTCTCTCCCTCTCTTCCCCCTCCATCCCCCTCTCTCTACAAATAAATAAATAAATCTTTTTTAAAAAGTAGTAAATTGGATCTTCATCAAGATGGAAAGTTTTGCTTTTTTAAAGATACTGATGATAAGATAAAAAGGCAAGTCGAAGGCTGAGAGAAAATATTTGTGAAACATCTGTCTGGTAAGCAATTTGTATCTAGATTATATACAGATGTCTTACAACTCAATTATATGAAGACAACCCGATTTTTAAAAATCAGTGAAAGATCTGGAAAGACAGTTTACTGAAGGGTGTGTGAAAGGACAAGAACTCATTACCTTCTTAGGAACTCTCGGGGACAAATACTTCCGCAAAGAGGAGGTGGGGAAATGGCGGGCGTCAGGAGTTGCCAGAGTAACGCAGAGGAGAACCACAGTGAGGCCCAGTTCCCCGCACGGAGTGGCCGACACCACGGGAAGACGGCTGGCGGCGCCCAGGATGGGGGCGCGGGGCAGACCCCCAGGTAGGTGGTGGGCGCTGCCACCGGGAGGCCCGTCAGGGTCTTCCTGGGTGAGGCGTGAACTCTGCTGCAGCCGTGCCGCCGTCCCAGTTGTAAGCGACGAATTGTAAGTTGACAAAGGCTTGGCCCCCGAGTGTTCCCGGCAGCAGTATTCACAGCCCCAAGGGGGGAAACTGCAACGTCCGTGTTTTTGTGAATGGATAGACTCTTTCTGGCGGAATTCTACCCAGCAGTAAAATCCAACAGAGCGCTACACCAAGTCAAAGACGGCAGACATAAAGGCTGCAAAGTCTGTGATTCTAGGCCTACAGATTTTGTACGAAAACCGTGGCAGCAGAAGAGTGGAGGACGGTGCGTGGGACAGTCTGGGGCGAGGTGGGACGGTCCTGAATTGTGACCGCAGTGGGGACACAGCCCAGCACGCACAGCTGCCTACAGCCATTGAATCAGACATTTAAAACCAGAGCTTCTCGTCTCATGACATAAAAGTCACCTCGATAAAAAAGGGCACAGAAAGCTGAACGTATATATTACCGAGGACCCCACGAATGCCCGCTGGGTGCAAATGTGCACACACGTGAGAAAGCTCACAACAGCTTTGTTCATAACGTCCCCAAACTGGACACAATCCAACGGCCGTGTCAGCCAAGTGGGCAAACGCGGTGTGAAAGCCAGTGGCCTGCAGATGACCCGGCAGCACGGACGCATTCCAGGCGTCGAGTGGACAGAAGCAGCTGGACACAGTACGGCCCGGTTCCCAGTCCCTGAAACATATAAATAAACACGGGGAGTAGCTGTGGGTGACGTGGGCCGACCCGCGTCGGCCAGGAAGGGCCACCGTGGGCTCACACCCCAGGTTCTGTTTCTCCCTTTGCAGTCGAGTTTCCGCCGCCCATTTACAAGGTGCCGTTACCCGCAGATCTGATCGGCTTTCCTGCGGCTCTGCTGCATCTCACAGGCAAAGGCTTTTAAAATAACGAAGTGTGTTCTTGTGTCCCCAAGATCTCGCTGGCTCTGGTGTTGTGAGAAGAGGTCGTCAGGTGCGTCGGCACCTGAGCACAGGTGGCACTAAGGTGTACACACCACGTCCGTGAGTGACAGTCAACACTGGTTGTTCCTGTAGAAAATGGGGCTGACTGTTAATAATAAGGAAAATTTTGAGCGTTTAGTCTGTTAAAAAGATACAAGTTAACACTGAAAGATAAATAGTATATTTAAAAGATAATTAGAATCAGCCAAATTAACTGAAGCCAATATTCTGGGAGATTGAATTTTAAACACTGACAGAAACACAAATAGTAAAATGTGACTTAAAGGTGAAGGGAAAACGGTCCTCAGTTGGCGTGCGGCCGTTGTGTCGTCAGGAAAACCCGCACAAGGGCTTCCTGACTCAGGTGTGGGATTTCCCGGGGTGACGCCAGTTAACAGTCACGCAGGTTCCAGGGGCACAGTTAGGGAAGGCATCTCCATATGGGTGCTGTGTGCTCACCACCCCCTTTATCCAGGGCATGGGTGGGTGAGCTCAGGGTTAGAAACCTCGTGTCTGGCCAGGTCCCTGTCCAGGAGAGCGGTGGCACGTCCCACCTGGCGGTGCTGCGAGGGAGCCTGGAGATGTGCGTGGCACGCAGTGGGCTCTGCGGTTAGTTCTAAAGTACCTCCTCTTTACCCAGTCACTGGCGGAAAGTCATTTTTCACTAGGATGAGGTTTCTTTCAGCGTGAACACCCACCCAGGCACCTGACTCTCCTGTCTGAGGTCCTTGTGGTGGGGGTGGGGCAGCCTGCTGCAGGTGCTTGGGAGAGAAGAGGCCTGGGGGACTGGGGAAGGGTTCCCCCCGAAAGCAACAGGATCAGCTTTGAACTGTGCATGGGTTGTTTCCACGCACACCGCTGGTTAGAAGTGTGAGAAAGCAGCACAGTGAGAGGGGCAGCTACGGGGACCCTGGGAGCCCGACAGAGACCCATACGACAGGGCCACAAACCCATTCATGGCCACCCCTCCTCCTGTGGACACAGGCATTGGCGGGAGGGGGGGGGTGAGACAGCCGACTTTCTGCGGAATGCCCGGCTGCATGAGGCAGTGGCAAACCCAGGACCTCAGTCAACAGGATGAGCAGTGCGATGGTGCGGGAGACCACCTGTGCCCCCCCCCCCACTCTGAGAGGGCCCCCACCTCCCCGGCCCACGGGGCAGGGTGGTGGTGCTCCATGTGAAACTCACTCCCAGCACCCGCTGCCCTTCCAGGTCTCCCCACCCTCAGGATGAAGCCCAAACTGGCCCAGCTCAAGACCCTGCTGCTAGGCACCTGCTGGCCACTCTCAGCTCCAACTTTCCTCAAGGCCCACCTCCCTCCCCAGGGCCTTTGCTGTCCCTCTTCCTGCTCCCTCACCTCAACACCAGGTGGTGCCTGGCCTGTGTCACCCGGCACTGTGCTCCCTTGTGAGCAGAAGCTGGCGGACATTTAGATTCTGCCACAGGACAGTGACCCAGGGTTGGCTGCAGGCCACATGCATTCTGTGTGGCCTGGGCTGGGAGAAGGCCTGACGGGGGGGGGGGGGGTGAGCTGGAGACGGACTCCGCCCACCCTGAGCCCTCAACCTGGTGGGGACACGGATACCTGGACCCCAGGGAGACCATGGCTGGCAGGAGGAGGCTCTGCTAGCGACTTCGGCCAGGGAGTTACTGAAAGGAAGGGAGGTGGGGAGGTCCAGAGGCGGTAGGGGCAGGGAGATGTGGGGAACGGGGTACAGGACGCGGGGAGGGACAGTGCAGCAGGGCAGCAGGGAGGTCCAGGTGCAGAGCTGCGTCCTGGCTGCACATGGGGAGCCTCCATGAGGATAACAGGGCTAAGGGCACCGACCGACGGAGTACGAGACCCACGCCAAGCTCTCCCTAGTGTGCAGAGGGCGGCAGGCAGCCCATGGAGGTTACTCCCCGTGAGAATGTGGCAAGGGGAGCCTACTGCAGACAGAGGGAGCCGCACACGCAGGCTCGTGCCAGGGAGAGGCGGGTGAGTGTGTGGAAGAGGGAGGTGGTGGGGGTGGAAGTGCTGCGGGAAAGGCTGGGGGACCGGGGAGGAGAAGGAGGTCAGAGCTCGGAGAAATGCTCCCCCGCCGCCGCCCGGGCGGGTGTGGGCGCCCCGGCTGCACAGCCGCTGCCTGCAGGGCCCCGCCCCCACGCCCGGCTCACTTGCGCCCCCAAAGCCAAATCGATCTGGCTGTAAACCTCGTTGCCCTGGAAACTGAAATAATCTTTGGAAGTCAGCTCATGGCAACTCCGCTCACGTGCGTGGGTGTCACGGTTATCAGACAAGCTGATTTACACACTGTCCTTTTAAAACCCTACGGCAACAAGGTGAAAGGAAGCCCGTTCTCCCAGCTCTTCTGGGAAGTCCTCGCGAGGGGGGATGGGGGGTGGGGGCAGGACTAGGAGGTTCAGCTGCTGCTGTGAAACCTGCTGAAACATGGCGAAACCTGCTCCCTCCCGACACGGCCGCCGTTCGAGTCAGTCCCACGCAAATGTGCCCAGAGCCGCGGAACGGCCTTTGCAGATCCACCGGGCAGATGGTTTCCACGAACGGTGGGCGAGGGGCCCCTGCGCGCGCGCTGCTGGCGAATGCCGGCGCGACTTTGTCCACACGCAATAGGGGCCTCTGGGGGCTGTGCCGCTGCTCACGAAGCGCCAACGACCCTGCGCGCAGAGGGCGTGAGCTGTGCGCCCGGGGGCGTCTCCACAACTCGAGCTAGCAAGTGGGCGGAGGAGCAGAGGTGCGTTCTCACGGGGCCCCGACACGCGCGCGCACACCCGCGTCCCTTCGCAGCAGCCACGCCCGCCTCTCCGGGATCCAGCGCAAAGTTATTTACCGCTGCGGCCAGCTGGCAGAGCGAGTCATCGGCTGCCCGGGCCTCCGGCTGCAGCGGCAGGGACCGCGCGGAAGGAACCGGGCGCAGGCCTAGCCGCTCGGCCCGTGGGACCTCCCCGGACCTTGCAGAGTCGCCCCCTCCCCGAGCCTACTTTCGGGAAGCGGATGGAGAGCCCGGAGCGGCCTGGGAGAGGCAATCTGTCCCGCCGCCCCCATCCACGCGCCTTCCTCGCACCCACCTTGTGATCTCTCGGTCGGAACGAGGCGATTTAACCGCCCCCCCCCCCATCCCCTTCACCAGGTGCACTCGGGCCTTGCACCGCTTTCGAATGGAATTAACTTCCAACCACCCGCGTCTGGGGGCAGAAACAGCTGCCTGACCCGGAGAGAAGGCGCTTACCCAAGGTTCTGCGTGAGGTTTCACCTCTAGGCACCCACCCACTGCGCGCGCCAGCCGGTCAGGCCCCGCGGGCTGGTCGCGGCCCCCGAGCTCCTCCGCCCAGATCCAGCCGGCACTTGGGCGGCCCTCCCCCAGGCTCGGCTCCCCTCCTCCGTCCCCTTCCCCCTAGGCTCTCCCCCGTACGCCCCCCCCCCCCGCACCGGGCTCCCCGGTCTCCCCGGCAACCCAGATAACTTCCTCAGTCTTCGTGGCCTCCGGCAAGCCGGTGGACGTGGAGGGCGTCCCGGTCCCCGTTGTCAGAGAAACGTAGACGTACCGCACGGGAGGTGGGAGGTGCTGCGGGTGGGGCTTGGGGGCTCCTGGGTAGAGAGCCCCGGGGCGGGGAGTGGCCTTGCCTAAGCGGCCGGGGCGCGCACACCGGGAAGAAGGTGGAGAGACGCGCGGGGGGGCCCTCTGCTTGAGGCAGCGGCAGAGGGGTGTCCTGGGGGCTGCAGGGCTGGGGGGCGGGGCTGGGCGGCGCCAGGTCCGGGCGCGCCGGGCGCGGGCGGGGTGCGGGGAGCCGCGCGTCCTGGGAGGGGCGCCGCGGGCTGGGGAGGGGGCGCGCGCCCTGCGCTCTTCCGCGCCGCATCGGTTCCCAGCGCGGGGCCGCGGCGGCGGCGGCGGGAGGCGGAGGATGCGGGCTTCGGCGGCGGCGGCGGCGGCGCGGGCCCGGGAGGACGCGGGAGGATGAGGAGGAGGCCGGCGGTCCGGCCGCGCGGCGCCGGGAGGAGGCGCAGGCGGCGGGGGCGGCGGCGGGCGGCGGCGGGCGCGCGGGGTGCGGGCCGGCTCGGGCGCGGAGGATGAAGTGGAGCGTCCGCGGGGCCTGCGCCGCGCTCTCCTCCTGCCTCCTGCTCGCCTGCGCGCTCAGCGCCGCCGCCGTCGGCCTCAAGTGCTTCTCGCTGGGCTCGGAGCTCCGCGGGGAGCCGTTCCGGCTGGGGGCGGCCGCCGGTGCCTTCTACTCAGGGCTGCTACTGGCCGCCGGCCTCTCGCTGCTCGGCGCCGCCCTGCTCTGCTGCGGGCCCCGGGAAGCGCCCCTCGCGGGGCCGGGGTCGGGCCCTGGGCTCGGGGTCTCCGCAGCCCCGGGAGGCTCTCCAGAGGCTGCGCCGGGCGAGCCCGGGGCCGCAGTCGGGCCCCCCGGGCCAGTGAACAGCCAGAACCTGCTCCTGCTCGGCGTCCTCGTGTTTATGCTTGGTGTCCTCAGCGCCTTCGCGGGCGCCGTGATCGACGGCGACACCGTGTCCCTAGTGGAGCGCAAGTACTCCCACTACTGCCTGCCCCCGCGCGCGCCGGCTGTGGCCCCGGGCCCCGCGGCTGCCGCCCCCGGCCCAGCCCCTGGAGCACCGCGCGCCCGCAGCACCTTGGACAGCGCCACGTCCGCCAAGTGCCGCCAGCTGAAGGACTACCAGCGGGGCCTGGTGCTGTCCACCGTCTTCAACTCGCTCGAGTGCCTCCTGGGCCTGCTCAGCCTCCTGCTGGTCAAGAACTACAGGTCGTCACAGGCCCGGCGCGGCCGGCGCGGCCGGCGGAGGGGCAGTCGGGCCCTGGCGCGGCCCCGAAGCGGCCCGGGTCTCCGAGTGCAGCTGCCAGCCTCCCGGGTGCGGCGGGGCCGGCGGAGCCGGCGGGGCCGACGGCTGCAGCCTCGCCCCAGCGAGGCTTCCATTCTGTCTCCGGAGGAGTCGGACTTCGCCGCCCCCGGGGACTGCGTGGGATTCGCCGCGCACCACGCTGTCTCCTACATCAACGTGGGCGTCTTCCACGCGTCAGACGAGGCAGGTGTGGAGGTGTGCTGCGGAGGGCACCCGTCTGTGGAGCTCCCGGGCTACGCGCCCTCGGACCCCGACCTCAACGCCTCCTACCCCTACTGCTGCCGGCCGCCCTGCGAGGCGGCCCGCCCCTGGGAGCCAGGCCGGGCCTGCTGAACCCAGGACAGACCGCACAGCACTCCTCCCCGCTCCTCCCCGCCGGCCACCACCGTGAGGAGGCCGGGGCTGGCAGGGCGCAGAGTCAGGCCACCGCCTTGGGGGTGCATCTCCAGGGCCCGTCAGCCCAGCGTGAGGCCTCCCGGCCACGAGAATGGCCCTCTGGTATTACCACTTCTGTGTCTGGGAGGTTTCTCTTCTTTTCTGTGTCTCTTCGTATCCAGATTCCATTTTAAAGTTTACAATAAATGTTTGGGGTTAGCTCGCCCCAACCGCACTTCTTGGCAAGTCCGTTCCCTGGGGCGACACTCCCAGGTGCCGGGTGAAAGCTGCCCCGCCGGGAGATTCCGAGGGAGGAGGACTCCTTTGGCCCAAGGACAGGACAACTTCAGGAATGAAGGCCCGGGAAGCACCCGACAGCAACACTTTGTACACGGATGTGCCTGCTTTGTTGATAATTTCTTACTGTAAAGCTCCATAAACAGTGGAAATGTTTGGTAAATTTATTGCAGTTTAAACTTGGTGAGTCCCTTTATTAAATCAGATGCTATGTTACTGGAGTTGGAGGGTGTCTGCACACAGACCCAGGTGGGGGAATGGCTGAGCCGGCCACTTGGATGTAGATCCCAGCAACTGCGGCCCCCGGGCGGGCGGGCGGAACCGGCCTCCTGTAACAGGAGTGTGCTGTGCCAGGTCCCATATGTGTCTTTTTTTGGAAACTGATGATGAGGTTCCTATGGCAAAACTGGGCTTATTTTTGGTTAATACATGTGAACAACCCAATCCTATTTTGGAAAACCACAGTCATAGTTTTTTTTTTTTTCTGGCAAAGATTACTTTCCTGTTGATTAATTCATTAATCTGGGAATTGGAGCCTTGTAGCATTTCATTTTAAATATACCCCTTAATTGATGCGAAGGCCATAGTTTTAAAGCGTCAGGACGTGTGTGCGTACTTACATGCACCGGGGGACGGTGAAGATGCTGGAAGGGAGTGTCCATCCATTCTGGAGGCCTGGCTGGGGGCCAGGCCGGCTGAATCTTAGGAAAGGTGATGCCGTTTCTACACACTGGAATCGTGGTGTCGGGCAGGTATGTGCTGACTCGGAACTTGCCCGGAGCAGAGCCCTCCCTGGCGCAAGGAAGGGACTCTGCTGCAGAACAAGGTGGGGACACACGGGTGCTCTGCCTGGGGTGAGCACCGTGCAAACGCTTTAGGTAAGAAAAGCAAACGAACCAAGATGTGTCGCTAGTGCTGAGTGTCCACTCCTCCAGCTGTGACAAAGTGCCCGGATTGAGGGGCGCAGGTAGAGTTTCCAAGTCCAGGTTCTAGGCTGAGACCTCTCCTCCGCTCCCGGGCACTGTGTGCAGGGCCAGAGGTCCCCTGGGCCCCGGGTGACCGAGGCCGCATCCTGGCTGGGATGTGGCCAGGCTGTTGCAGTGCCGCAGAGGAGTGGAGACCTGTCACCATGCAGTGGTGACAGACCCGCTGGCCTGATAGTCCATGTCTGTGAAACTTGACTCTCTGATCAAAGAGGCAGCAAGCCAATGTCCTGTCCTTGACACATCAATGCCACTAGAGGAGAAATGGTCACTTGCGTTCAGTGTGCTGGGTTCTCCTCACACGCGTGTGCACATCAGGCCTCTGGAGCGGCCAGGCCGAGAGCATAGCCATGCTGCCCCGCTGGCCCTTGCAGCCTGCACCCCACCCCTGACCCCGGCCATCAACCTAAAGCAGCAAATGGGACAAGTGGCAGCCGAAGTGGCTGTGAAAGTGTTTCCCATCTGCCTCAGTCAAACCAGCCAGGCGAGGCGGCTCGGGCCTGCGTGGTGGGGGTCCGGTCAGCACAGTCCCAGTGGGGCGTAGGGTCTGGAGGGGCACATGGAACAGGGACATGAGGCCTCAGACCTCCCCAGACCCTGTTCTCTGAGCTTGTTCATTTCACATGCTCTGTGCAGCTGACAGTCAGATGCCTTATGTGTCTCCAGCTCGCGTCCAAACCAGCAGCCTCTCTAAAGGGTCAGACGCGTCTTGTGATGGAGCAGAAGGCAGAGCAGAGCCGGCGGGGCTGCAGGGCCAGTGCCAGCAGCAGCTTCTGTGTCTGGCCCCAGGGTGTGTCTGGCCGGGCGCAGAGAGCCTCTGGGCCCAGACAGCTGCTGTGCCCCTAGCGAACTTCTATGTGACCAACAAACCAGGTGACAGTTTTTCAGGTGCCAATGTTTCTAGCTTCACGAATACTCTTAACCTCTTTATAGAGACTGATATGAGGATGTGAGATACCAGAGTTTTATTTTTGAAAGTTTAATACAGGAAACAAAGTCCCAAATATGCCTAAGCTGAAGTTGTTCCCAAGTGTGGTCCTCAGGGAGCGTGTGAGGTTGCGAAGGTCCCCCACAGCCCCAGGACCCACTTCCCCAGAGGGCTCCAGCCTTGGGGTCACCGCGCCCCCTGCAGCCCTTCGTCCACGCTGCTGCTACCCTTCAAAGTGTGAGTCAGTGCTTTCGGAACGGGTTTCCTATGCTCCGTGGACAACAGCACCGGTCCCCAGGCCTTTCTTAAAATTAGTCTTAGTCTGCTTCTCAGAGCAGCAGTAAACTCTTGGCGTGCTGGAAGTCAGACCCAGAGTTTATTACGATGATGAAATACCAAAATTAAACACACGTTAGCGTTTTTGCATGGCTTAATGCTGAGTTTTTAAGTTGTCACCTACACAGAAAGGTTGTTTACTCTTAAGGGAGTCCTGTGTCACATTAACCCCAGACATACCTGCCAGGCCAGTGCTGCGTCCTGAAGGAAGGTGTGCAGACAGACCGAGCTCCTCAGGCACAGGGGCTCTGCCCTCGGCAGCACAGACCCTGCCTGGCGTAGCTCAGTGGATTGAGCACGGGCCTGCGAACCAAAGGATCATGGTTCGATTCCCAGTCAGGGCACATGCCTGGGTTGCAGGCCAGTTCCCAGCAGGGGACACACGAAAGGCAACCATGCACTGATATTTCTCTCCCTCTCTCCTCCCCCTTCCCTCTAAAGATAAATAAAGAAAATCATTAAAAAAAATTTTTTAAAAATCAGTCAGATGATGGTGGAGATCAAACTGCTGGTGGTTACATGTTTATTCCTAGCAGGTGTCACGACCCAGTGAAGGCGGAAGCCTCCAGTGCACATACGCACACAAGTGCACACACAGGAGTGCACACAAACACAGAACCACACCGGTGTACATACATGTGGTCCTGCACATGCACACACGTGTACAGGCGTGTGCGTGCTCACACTGCCTCCAAAGCGTGTCTGAGGGCCCCCTCCCGCAGCTCTGCAGGTGTGCACACGAGGAGCGTGTCCCGGAGGGTGGCCGGTGGGTGCTGACCCTTGGGGTCACCTTGGGGTCACGCTCCCTCCAGAGCACGGCTGGCACCTGCCGCACAGGCCTCTGGGTGATCAGTGCCCACAGGCACCGTCTTCTCGCCGAGGCACGACAGAGGAGAGGCGGCGGAGACCTGAGAACAGGGAGTCCGGTTACGAACGAACTCGATGTGCCTGCGCACCCGTTTTTAAACACAACACAGAGACCAAGCCTAAGTCCGTCATCCGGGTACTTTCAGACAACCTCATGTCTCTGCTGCTAAACCTGCTACTTTCCAGCACAGGAACGAAACACCAACCACACGGAAGAGCGACGTGTGACTCGGGAACTAGCCTGCGTGTCCTAATGTGTCCTCAACGTGACTTCTCCTGAGGATTCCCGAAGCGGCAGGGAGGTCCAGCGATCTCCGTTCAGAGGTGGGCGCGCCACGGTTTCCCTACAATGCCCACGTGTCGAGGGAACCTGCTGTCACACACGTGTCTGTCCGGAGAAGCCTGATCCCGGGCCACCGTTTGACTGCCGTGGACCCCCAACTGCACATCAGCGAACCCTTGTTGCCACAGGGTCCGCAAAACCTGGGCCAAGGCGCCGCACACTCGCAGAGGAGGGCCTGCCTCCCCTCCCATGGCCTCCTCCCGGCCCTGCAGACCTGCCCGGAGGCCCCAAGGGCGGGAGGACAGACAGAGCGCCGGTGAACTGTGGTCGTTCTGGCCCTGCAGCCCCCGGGTCTGCCCACGCCCAGGCGAGGAGCCTTTCCCCCGCCCCTGCCAGCCTGAGTTTGGCCCCCACGTCTGCCACGAACCTCGCACTCCCCAAAGCACCAGCTGGATCTCTTTCCTGATGTCCACTCCTGATTCAACATTTTCCCACTCAGAAACCTGCAAAAACTGCCCTTTTCCTGAAGGAAGGTAATGTACCTCCTGAACCTGGCCCAGCCGAATGCTCTAGCTTTCTCTTGGGGCCTCCCGGGGCCAGGGGCCAAAGGACAGGTGTTCTCACCTGCGGGGTCCCATGCGTGAATAAGTAGGTGACAGGTCTGGGACGGAGGTTGGTGCTGCCTGGACTGCCTCAGGGCCTGGAGCATCTCAAGGCTCCATTCCTTGTTTCTTCCTGGCTTCTGGTGGTTGCTGGTTAGTGTCCCTTGGCTTGTGCGCTCGTCACCCCCATGTCTGCCTCTGCCTCCATGTGGCCGTCTCGTACGTCTGTGTCTCTCGTAAGGACACTGTCACTCAGTGCAGATCCAGCTCTAATCCAGTCTGGTCTTTAAATACTCCATTTCTAAATGGGGCCATGTTCTGGGTGGACCAGCATTTTGGGGGGACGATACTGAATCCAGTATAGAACTCAGTCAAGGTTAGCAGTTCGCTCTTCTCTTCTTGCGTGGGGCTTGCCCTGAAGGCCTCAGGGGCCAAGGCACCCCCTTGCTTGGGCCAGGGCCCCCTGAGGGTGAAGTAGGAGCTTTGTCAGACTAGGGTGTTCATGAACCTGAATACTCCTGTCCAATGTATATTTGGGCTTTTCTTTTTTTTAGATATTATTTTTAGAGAGAGGAGAAGGGAGGGAGAAAGAGAGAGAGAAGCATCATTCGGCCACCTTTCACACGCCCCCAACCAGGTACCAAACCCACAGCCCAGGCCTGTGCCCTGACTAGGAATTGATCTGGTGATCTTTCGCTTTGTGGGACAACACCCAACCCACGGAGTCGCACTGGGTCACGGCTGGATGAATATTCTTTGAGATGCTCAAACATTAACACTGATTGCCCAAGGAGAAAAGCTGCCTTCGGCTGATTCGCAAACATTTTCAGATAGTAACTGACTGACTTTGCAAACCCACACTGGCAGGCTGCGTTCCTGTCTGTGGCCAGCGGGCAGAAGTGGCCAGGACCTCATCCTCCTGACGAGGACGCCCCCAGGTCTCCCACCCTAGCACAGCTGGCAGGACTGTGAGTTGGCCTCAGTCTTATTCATTTTATTTTATTTTTTTCCATAAATTACTTTATTGTTGTTCAATTACAGTTGTCTGCATTTTTTCCCCACCACTCCCCTGCAGCCCAGCCAAACCCCCCTCCCTCCCTTGCTTCCACCCTTTCACTTCGTTTTGTCCATGTGTCCTTTATAGTAGTTCCTGAAAACCCTTCTCCCCACAGTCCCCTCCCCCCTCCCCTCTGGCCATTGTTAGATTGTTAATTTCAATGTCTCTGGTTGTATTGTTTGCTTTTTTCTTTTGTTGATTACATTCTAGTTTAAGTGCTGGAAGCAACCCATGCATTCATCAGCAAATGAGCAGATCAAAAAACTATGGTACATTTACACAATGGAATTCTATGCAGCAGAAAGAAAGGAGCTCCTGCCCTTTGCGACAGCATGGATGGAACTGGAGAGCATTATGCTGAGTGAAATTAGCCAGGAGGTGAGGGACAAATACCATATCTCACCTTTAACTAGAACATAGTCTTGTTCATTTTAGAGGCTGTTCTTGTGCCTCCTCTCTTGCCCCCTGTCCATTTTGTGCCCCTGTCCTCCAGCCCCCTTCTCCTGACCAGCTGCTACGTCACCTTTGCTGGGAGCCTCCCCCAAATCCACTGCAGGGACCTGCTCCACCGGCCCCTCTGCCCAGGGTTCCTAACACCGGTCCCAGGGGGACTGCTTGTTGAGAGTCCCTTCTGCCTCCGTTGGGTGACTCTTTTTTCTTAAACGCGTGACTTCAGTCGTCCTGTGTTGGAGCTTGTCTGCTCCCGTGGCATGCCCACACGCCCCGGGCACAGCGCCCCCTTCACAGGCAGCCCCTCCCAGCCTTCCCTCCAGGCTCCACTGGCAGCCCCAGGGCCCCACCCTCACCTGCCTACCCAACGAGCTCTGCAGCCCCTGGGACCCTGCAGGGCACCTGTAGAGCAGCCTCGGCTCCGGGCACCAGCGGGTAAAGGACTGACGGGTTCTGGGAGCCCCTCGAGGCCAGGCCCTGCCTGCCGAGCACTTTACATTCACTTCCTCCCTTAATCTTCAGTCGCTTCACAGGTGGGGAAGCCAGGCTTCGGAAGTGCACTCGTGTGCCCAGGACAGGCCTGTGTGAGAGCCGAAGGCCTCGGCTGTCCCCCCTGGTGCTAGGGTGGGGCCCCGCCTTGTTCCAGCCACAGGGCCCACAGCTCTGTTCCCAAGCAGCATCTGTGGCTGTAGATCAGCCAATGAGAAGCCGTGGTCACCTGGACTCCCCCTTTCCCCCACTGAACTCCCCCTTTTCTCTTGCTGAGACTTCCTGTCCCACCTCCTTTCTATAAAAGCCTCTGGTTCCAGGTGGTCCCTGAGACTCCCTGGGCTTGGGGGGGGGGGGTGGGCTGCAGCCCAGTTCATGGATCATTCATTAGTAAGGCCAGTGATCATCAAATTTAATCAGCTGGGTTTTGTTTTTAACACCGCCATTGGTTCTATTTATTTTTTAAAAGATTTTATTTATTTAGTTTTAGACAGAGGGGAAGGGAGAAAGAGAGGGACAGAAACATCAATGTGTGGTTGCCCCTTGCACACCCCGAGCTGGGGACCTGGCCCACAACCCAGGCATGTGCTGACTGGGAATCGAACCAGCAACCCTCTGCTTTGCAGTACGGTCCTCAATCCACTGAGCCACATCAGCCAGGATTTATTTTTGTATTAATAATAGTCATTTGCTTTTTCTGGAACAATCTGTTATGGGGGTAATTTACACTAATATATATGTGAATTAAGTCAAGTGAATGCTGCATCTGATTTAAAAGGCAGGTGTGCTTTTGTTCTTCCCCTTCGGCTCTGCACCTCCACCCCTAAAGCACCTCTGTCCCCATTTCTTCGGAAAACGGTGATGTTGGTGCTCCAGGTATTTCCGCTGGGCCGGATTACTGACCTCTCACTAGTGAGGTCTGCGGGTTGTTTTCTGACCCCAGAAGTTGACAGACACACTGCTTTCTCCTCCTGCCCTCCCAGTACACTTTGGCTTTTTTCCCCCTGAATCAGTATTCTATGTATTAGGGTCACAGACACGGTTCACAGGCACCTGGTGAGGTGGTCTGTGACCTCCTTTCCTGTGCTCCCTGAAGTTAACAACTGGCTGATGTCTTCCATGAATCTGGGCCCAGACACCCCCCGTTTGAAAGAGGTGAAAACATTCTCCCTGTCATCAAAGGTGCCCAACGGGCCTCCCAGGAGGCCTTTACCTGTGACCTGACATGGGCTCTGTGGGTCTCACCTGCTCAGGGGCAGGCACCTGTGTTTGCGCCCCTTCGGTCCCTGCATGCGGTACCCAAGGTCTCTGAGCGGCAAGGGCGGCCAAGTTCCTGCCCACGGATGCTGCTCACGGACGCTCACAGCAGCTTTATCCAGTCTCCAGAACCCAGAAGCAGCCAAGATGTCCCTCACCAGACAGATGGACACACACACTGTGAGCCATCCAGACAATGGAACAGTACTCAGCACTAGGAGGAAATAAGCTACCAGGTTACAAAAAGACTTGGCAGACGCTTGAGGGCATAGTGCTAAGTGAAAGAAGCCAATCTGAAAAGGCTCCACACTGCATTTTTCCACCTGTGTGACATCCTGGAAAAGGCAAAATTACGGGGACAACAAGTAGTAAAAAACAAAGAGAAAAAGTACCTCCTACAATACCTTTGAAAGAAAAGGAAAAACTCCAGAGACAAGGAAGAAACGTAAGAAAGGAAAGAGGGAGAAAAGAGGGAAGAAAGAGAAAAGAAGGAACGAGCCAGGGAGAGCAGGCTGCGCTCGAGTGGAGGTCAGGCCGGGAGCGTGACCCCTGCGGCCACGCGAGGGCCACACGGCCACACGGGAATCCCAGCAGACATGTCACAGATGCGAAGTGTCGCAAGTCCACATCCATGATTCCTCTTCGAACAAAATTCATACAATAAAACCGTCCTGCAAGTGGAGGAAAGTAAAGAACAAGCAATGTAGAAAGGGCAGGATGAGCTGGGAGCCATTTATTACAGAATCAGAACCGACCAGTTGTGTAAATCACACAACAAATTACATGTGTTATAAATGGTGATGGTAATCCTGTAAGAGAATTCGGCAAGTGGGGGAAGAAGAAAAGTGTGTGATAATTTTGTCATGTTTCATAAAAGGGAATCCATAGATATGGACTAAAATAGAAAATTTACTTTTAAAATGAGTACTTTAAAATCTTTCCTCTTAATTTTATAGGCATATGTTATGAACTAATACTTCTTGTAATAAATAAAGTTAAAGTTCAGTACTTTCTTTGGTTTCACTTTAATTTCTTTTCTGTTAAATAGTTTGGGTTAAAAACAATACATATTAGAGCCTCACACATGCCTGGTCCCTCAGAGAGACATGCCTACCAAGTGTTAATGATGTCGCTTCTGGGTGGTGATATTTAAAAACACTTCTTTTTAGAAATGTGTTTTTACTCTTTGAGTATTTAAATTCATAATTTAAAAATTACGAGTGATACCAAGTCATTTTTTCTTAAAAAGATCAGGCACACCCTGGGGTGCCGAGGTTGGGGGCGGGGGGAGAAGTTCGGAGAGCAGCTTGGGAAGCCTCGGCTGCACCCGTGGGGAGCAAGAGAGGAGGAGCAGGAGAGGAGGAGCAGGAGAGGAGGAGCAGGAGGAGAGGAGCAGGAGAGGAGGAGGAGAGGAGGAGCAGGAGAGGAGGAGGAGAGGAGGAGGAGCAGGAGAGGAGGAGGAGGAGAAGAGGTCAAGCCCATGGAGGGCTGAGTTCCATTTGCTCATTCGTCTTAGATCGTGTTGCTCTCTCGGTCAGAAGTTGTAAAGGCAAAGACAACAGTGGCTCAAGGTGCTGTGTCCTGCGCTGTCTTTGGAAAGAGGTGCCCTGGACATGCAGGGACAGGAGGGCAGGCACCCCAGGGACTCGGGTGCTGGCAGTAGCGCCCCCTTCACGGGGCAGAAGGGCAACCTGGTCGTTTGGGTGACTGGACGCTGTTTACTTGAAAACCAAGGGAGATGGCCGCGAAATTTCAGTTTTCACACTAAGTTTCAGTCTTAGGAAATTTGCGCCTACTATTGTGCTCCCAGTATTCAAAGAGATTTCTACTAGTGATGTAACTAGCGATTTTTTGCTTTGAGTAACGAGCCGTGTCAGCATCTGGGACAGTTATGGTGATTGTGTGGCAGAACCATAACAGGGGGATGCCCTTCAGGTCTCCCGGCAGGTCAAGGGAGGCAGTGCAGCCGAGTGCAGCCGTGAGGTGCTTTCAGACCACACGGGACAGCTGAGCTTCTCTATTTCAAGGAAGTTTATTTTCAAGGAGTTTAAAAACCAGATGAAGTTGCAAGAACAGTGCAGAGCCCCTTGACCCACCCCCCCAGGTTTCCCCGCAGCGGTCAGGGCCTTGGGACTGGATGAGACCTGGTGGGCAAGGCAGTGACGCGGAGCAGACTCACAGGCTGCGCTGGTTTTCCCACAACTCGTCACTTTTCTCCAACAAACCTTTAAGAGACCCTCACTCGTCCAGTTTCAGTGCAGTATCAAAAATAACACCCACAATGACCCCCAAAAAAAAAATACCCTCCCTTTCCCACAGACGGGTCTGTGTGACCAGTTCCCCTAAATATGTAAATCGCAGCCAAGTGGTCGCAGAACCCAACTGTCCTTGGTGAAACCAGACATGAAGAAGGTTGCAAAGATGTAAAATAATGCCACTTTTCTTGCTAAATATGTTTTTGAGAATAGTTATTTTTCTTAAAATTTTGTTATATTAACTTACAACAGGATTATACCTTTATTTTTAAATGAACAATTTTTTTTGAAATGTCCTAACTTTACTTTCAAAGTCATTCACACTGACAGACTTGCCCCTAGACGGCAGAGACCCCGGGACCCCCGTGGTGTCCCGGGTGGTACAGGGCAGACAGGATCCTGCTCCCGCACGGCGGCTGGGCTCTGAAGGTCACACACACCCTGGTGACCTTTCAAGGCACCCACTTAGACACACGACTCTGGGTCATATCCTCACTTACCCAGGAGTTAAAAGTTCGGAAGTGGCTGAAACGACTGTCAACAGGGGAAAGGAAGCCACTTGCAAGGGCACCTGAATTCAAGCACAGCAGTCCAAGAAACGAAGGTGTTCGTCAACATCGCAGAAGCCACACCTTTCTTTTTTTAGAATAATCTTGCATTTAGATTAGATCCAGATCCACAGAATAAATAGTAGACTTTGAAAGTATCTTCTTTTCCAGTGTCTAAGACTTGGTGTGGCTCTGACCTGAGGCGGTGAAGGACAGGCAGACAGCTGCCGTGAGGAGCAGGTGCACGCCCTCGTAGAGAAGTTTCGGAGAAAACACGCTCCATATGAACAAGTGGTAGCGCAGGGCCGTCACCAGGAGGATGTACGCAGCCGCCGGGAGAGAGCAGAGCAGTGCGTAGCAGAGGCAGGCGTGTCCCAGGGCCGAACCACTGTGGAGGGAACGGCTGTGAGCGAGGCCACGCGTGGCCCAGGGGAGTGTCCAGTCCGTCTGGCGAGGCTCGAAGAGGCGGTGGCCACCGGCAGGCACCTCCACCACTCTCCTGCCGCCACAGTCCCTGACGCAGTTTTGAAAAAATGCATCCCCAGAGTTTGCATAGTTACCTACTTAGAAATGATATGCCTGTAACTACTATATTCTCACCTGCATAATAAAATATAAACAAGGAGAAAATCACACGGGACTATGAACAACTATATGCCAAGAAACTGAACAATGTGGAAGAATGGATTAATCCCTAGAAATATACAATCTTCCAAGACAGAGTCAAGAAGAAAGAAAACCTGAGGGGACTGATAACTGCTAATGAACTCAAAGCAGCAACCAAAAAACTCCCAATAAGAGTTCTGGACCAGACGGCTTCACAGGCAAATGTCACTAAACACTCAAAGAAGAACTACCACCTCCTCCGACTGCTCCAAAAATTCAAGACGGAAGGCTCCCAAGCTCACTTTTAAGGGTAGTATTATCCTCATTCCAGAACCAGACACAAACACTACTGAAAAAGAAATTGCAGGCCCACATCCTCGGTGGGCACAGACCCAGAAATCCCCACCAGAGCATCAGCGAACCAGATCCAGCGAAGTGTCGGAAAGCTCACACACTGCGACCGAGGCTACACCCAGAGTCCAGGAAGCAACCCCTGCCCCTGCGGCCGACGGCCCCGTGACGGAGGGGACAAGAGCATGCTGTCTCCTCAATAAATGGTGCCGGGGAAACTGGACAGATTATGTGCGAAACACGGACTGGAGAGGATGCTCTCGCACCACTTGTGGGAATCAACTCCCGACGGATGAAAGACTCAAAGGTGAGACCCTCGGCCTCCGCGCACTCTGCTGCCTTCCCCTCTCACGCCCCACGGCTGGCCCCCGCTCACCAGGCCAGCATGCCTGCTGCCTGCATGCCCTCCTGTCCCTGGCGCCGTGGCTCAGCTGTGGCCCCACAGGACCATAAGCCCCTTCAGGGAGTTCAGCGTCTGCACTAGGGATCTGACCCATCAGAGGGGGGACCCCAGGGAGCTCACCCCCTCCTACAGTAGTGGCACGAGGGAAACTTGGGAGAAGCCTCATAGACAGGCCTCAGCACCCCCGCCTGTGGAGTGTGTCTGCCCAGCTGGAGGCTGCGCCCGATCCCACCCAAGTGAGCAGGGGGCTCCTGAAGCCACATCCCAGGGTCGCCACTCCCGTAACCTCAGCAAGGGGTGATCTGCGCTCTGGGAGGGTGCATGGCAGCCACACACTGAGAGACACAGAGGAGCTTCACCTGTGGGCATCGGAGCTCAGGAAGTTCACCAAGTGGCTGGCCCACAGCACAGGCCCTGCGTACGTCGCGAACGCCGTCAGGAACATGGCGGGGACCTCCACATAGGTGTTCAGGCCCACGAAGCCCGCCGAGATGTCCACTGTGGCAATGTTGTTTGAGTTTCCCTGAAAGGCAAGGAGACAGTGCTGACATGGCCCCCCAAGGCACAGGCACAGTGATGGGGACGAGCAGGAGCCCCAGCCACCCATCCACCCCTCTGTTTCACTGACCCTGGACACACTGTCCCTCTACCTGCTGCCTCCTTCAGAGACTGGCAAGTGGAAGGTCTGACCTGCGAGGAACCGTACAGACCAAGCCGACCCATCTGTGGCCAATCCCGAATGTCCTGAGATCTGTCCGCCTACCAGAGACCGCCCCCCCACACCAACCACGTCCAAGGGCTGCATGTGACCCTGGGAGATAGCGTGGTCAAGGGCACTCGCTGGAGGCGGAGGACGGCACTGCCCACTGAGGGCTTGTTGGATGGGTGGACACTGCTGTTAGATCACAGGCTGGCTGCCTGGAGGGAGGGCGTGGCTGCTCAGTGTCCAGCACAGCGGGAGACCCAAGACCTGGCAGAGAAACACCAGCTCCAGCGAGGAGGCCACTGCCACCCAGCTGGCCCTGAGGGTGGGCTTCTGGGTTCAGGAAGGGTCTTTTACAACTCGGCCCCTCCCTCCTCCTTCAGTCTTTATCAATGCTGGAGACCTTTCCTCACAGACCGGGGTGGTCACACATGTGACCGCACCCCAGCCCAGTGAGGGACCCCACAGAGCGGTTTACCAGCAGCCCAGGACAGGGCCCCACTGTGCGTCCACAGCTCTGCACGCTCAGTCATTCACCCCGCTTGCCCTCCTTGGGCTGCACGTCATCCTAGGCGGTCACGGGGTCACAGTTGGTGAGCTCCCAACACCCTGCTCTCACCATCTGACCCCGGCCCCACCCTTGACAGCCACCCTGTGTTTAGCTTCCCCTTCAGTCCACTTTGCCCCCGGGCACCTGGACCCCCGAAGCCTATTAGCAGGCCCCCGCCGTGCCCTGGAGACGGAGACCCCTGAGTTGTGTGTGTGGGAGGGGGGGGCAGAGTCCCTGAGTGGGGGGCTGGGCATCCCATGAAAGGTCGATATAATACTGTGGGTGCAGCTCGGGCAGGGACCACCTGCTGGGGCTTTTGGGCACAAACTCATTTATTTAACCCTCAACAGGCCTGACTCGGTGCCACGGGACTCAGCGTCCAGCGGGGAAACAGAGGCAGACAGAGATGAGAGCCTGGGCAGGGCTCACAGGTGCCACTGGGGAGTCAGCTGCAAGCACAGGGCAGGAAGCCTGACAGAGGGGCAGCTGCCTGTCACTGTGGCACACGCCGTGGGGCCTGCGGCAGAAAGACCAGATCAGTATGGACTTCACTTGCTGACAGACCCCAACATGGGAGTGGTGAGCATGGCAGGGACACCAGAGGCCGTTGGACACATGACTGTGGCGGCCCTGGGTGGCCCGAGATGCAGCAGCATCGCCCCTAAGGAGTGAGGCCACACGCCGTGGCGCGGCAAACAGACACTGGAGTGTCCTCACTCCAGTCTTCCTGACACCGAGGCTTCAGGGCTGGTCATGCTGTCGACCAGCGTTGTGGCTCAGGAGCATCAGCGGCTGCCAAGTCCTTGTCCGCAAACATGAGGACACATTGCAGGCTATGACTGGGCGGGAGCTGGCTGGCAGGTGCCCGGGGCAGGGCACTGCGTCCGTCACAGTCTGGGGAAGAGTGGACGTGCTGATCTCCCACGGTGACAGCATTCCCCGCTGAGCCCCTCGTATCTGGAGCAGAGGGGGTCCTTCTGGGGCTTCTGTTCGGAGGCAGCCACCAGGCAGTCCTGTGTGTGATGCCCAGGTACAGAGGGGGACAGGCGATGCTGGCCGTTTGGGAACCTCTGCAGTGACGCTGAAGGAGCACCTAGCGTGTGGCTCCTCAACGCTGGAGGACCCACGCACGAGTGTGCCTGGTTCCGAGGCAATGGGAGCTGCCAGGCTGGAAGGAACCCGAGGACCTGCCCAGTGCCCGCGATGCCACACACACAGCAGGGGGTTTGGCCTTCTCCATTCCCGCTGGGTGCTCTCGGAGTCCTGGGCAACCTGCACTTCCCCACATCCTGGACGCCTGTGAGCTTCTAGATTTCTTCTGAAAGGTAAAAAGCTACGGCCTCTGAACTTCGGGGGCTCGACCCCCCGGAGGCACCGAAGTCAGGCCTTGTGGGGCCGAATGACCAGACTTCCCCGCCCAGCACCCTGGGGACCGTGCGTGTCCTCAACCACCACACCTTCCCGAGGCTCAGACGCCAGGCCCGACTCTCAGACACAACCCTCAGACCAGTGCCGACCACGAGGCCAAGGTGGGGGGCACCACGGCCCCTGGCAGGAATATGCCCTCCGTGAGCTGCCGGCCCAGCTGCAGAGAGAAGCGTGGGCCAGGCGGGCAGCGGCAGCTGGAGCGTGGCAGGCAGAGGGAAAGCAGGTTTGAGGGCGGGGGCACAGATGGACCAGGGCAGAAGCAGGTCCTCATCAGGCCACTTGCTTGGGACTTCACCCCCCACCCCTCTGGGCTTCAGGAAACAGACAGAAAAGCTGTGTGACCAGGCGCCTGGGCAGGACAAGGTGTGGCTGACACACTGCAGCTGTGCAGAGTCGCCAACCAAGGGCAGGAGCTTCTGGCTGCCACCAGGTCGAGGGCAGTGCTCAGCTGGCATGGAGCCGGGTGCCTGTGAGGCAGGAGCTAGACCCTCTGTCCAGCTGTCCCGGTGCCCTTCCAGGAGTGAAGTGCACCCTGAGGTATACCTTGGAGGCGGCTTGGCCTGGCCTCCGTGAGCCCTTCATCACTGGAGAGGAGGGGTGACAACCCAGGGACCCAGGGGACAGATGACCAAGTGGAGCCTCGACAGCACAGCCCCTGCCTTGTGAGACGAGGACGCATGGCGTTCTGTGTGCTGTGGGGACACGCCCAGCCCCGTGTGGGCTCAGCAGCCGGTCTGCCGTGTGCGTCGGTCGGAAGAACTGGCCGCACAGCATCTGACATAACACGTGTCACCCACACTGACGGCTCTTTCACGAACAAATGCTGCAGCCTCCCAACTTGTGCTGAGATCTTCTCAAAGAACGTGAGTGGTAAGTGGCATAGAGTTGGTGGTCTCCTACCCGCAGTAATAAGGAAAACCTACCTGGAAATAGAAGAACGCTTGACCGAACCAATAGTGCATGGCCGTGACCTCCGCGGCGTTGTGCCTCAGGGGCCTCCAGACGAACCTGGTCATCACAGCCTGGACCAAGAGGCTGCACAGCAGGACGGGAAGGTTGTGCGGCCGGAGCAGCAGCGCCGCCAGCAGCACGAGGCCCCCGTGCAGGTCCCACAGGCCTGCGGGCTGGCGTGTGTGGTCTGCAGGAATGACTCGGGACTTAAGCAAGTCTTTGCTGCCCGTGAACAGAAGGCCAAGGACAAACACGTAAACAAAACGAGCCTCAACGATACCCCTGAAAAAAAAAACCAAAACAGAGCAGATGTGTTGGCACCACCAAGACAGATCCAAATGCACACTCTCCCACTAAGACCATGAGTCTGCTCAGCACACAAGCCACAGTGCTGCCCCCTCCTGGGTGCGGTGGAGGGGGTGCCTGGCCCAAGGCCCCTGCCCAGAGGCCGGCACTGGTCTTCGAGGCCTGCCCTGCTGTGACGGAGCTGGCACAGGGAAGGCCATCCTCCTCTTGCTCGAGCGTGACCTGGGCGTGGATCACTGTTCACTCGATGAAGCCGAGCTCTGCCAGGAGCTCCCGTGAGTTCACAAACACTAAGATACAGCTGCGGGCCCACGACCGAGCAGACGGAAGTCACTGCTTGCAAGACTCTGTGCACACACCCAGTGGTGAGCCCCAACCACCATGGCCCCTGGGGCAAGGCAGGCGAGTTCAGGCCCTGCAGCGCCCAACTCTGCGGTTGGGGAGAGGCGGCAAGTCGGTCAGTCAGTGAAGACGAGGGACACTGAGCTCAGTTACTCGCACAAGAGGAGAAAGGGCAGCCACGCCTCCCAGAGCTGTCCCGGGAATTAAGGCAGAGGTTGCAGGGCCAGGGTCTGGCACAGCGTGATCAAGTCTGAGCACGTCGCTTACGGCTGCTCGGAGGGATGCGACTCAGAGCACTGAGCCAAGCCATCTCACCTGTGAAACTCCTGTACCCCCAAAACACGTTTAAGTGGAGTCCAAAAGCCAAATATTTTACATACACTGAAAGAGCTGACCACTTAAAGTAATGCCAAGTGAAAACTTTATCATGAAATAATCACCGTAACAATGTAACTGTTCTGAAAAGCTGAATTTTTTATCTCAGTTTTCTTAGGAAGGTTTACACACTTTTTTAAGATTATCTTTTTAGCGTGACGAGTTTAATCTGAATAGCTAAGCACTGCCCACCGCGTGCCAGCGCGGAGCGGCCCTGGGCCCCCTCTGCTGCGGAGCTGAGGTCCCAGCGCTCACAGCCCAGGCGGGAGCTCACTTGAGGCCCACAGAGTTAGAGGAGGAGAGGACGGCAGAAGCTGGAGCAGTTGCAGAAGTTTACAGGAGGGGCTGGGCTCCGTGTCCGGAGGCTCCAGGGCAGGCGCAGTGGGGCGTGGAGGAACAGCACTGCCCAGCAGGGCCTCTCCCGCCGCAGGCCAAGCTTCCACTTGGAGAGGAGCGCTCCTCAGCGGGGGGCAGCACTTGGGGTTGGAAAAGGGCGATGCAGCTGTCAGCGAAGCAGAACCGCGGGGCCGGAACCAGAAGGGGCCTGGAACTGGGGCAGCGGGGCAGCAGGTTTCACAGAAGAAGGGGAACCGAGCGGCACAGACTGAGCGCAGGGGGCACCGGCCCATGTGGCCGTCACATGCAAGGAAGGAAAGGAGGGATCCAGGTGTGGATGTGGGTGATGCTGAAAGCAGGTGCGTCAATACGAGAGGAAGTGAGGAATTCATCTGCGTATTGCACTTCGAGGTGGAGACAAACACTGTGAAACGGGACTACCGGGCCCAGAGTCTCAGACTCCGAAGCCGCCACACTGCCCCTCCCAGCCTCCATCTCCGGCGGAGGCCCGGCACCCAGCCCAGCCCTCGACTCCCCACGTCTGTGGGTGGGTCGCTTCCAGGGGTTCCCCTTGGGCACCGGGCCACCACGTGGCCTGGCCCAGCCCACAGTCTTCACCTTTGACCTGGGAGGAAAGATGACACTTGCTTTTCTCCTTCTGAGTGGAAAAGTGACACAAAGCCGAGCGAAACCGAGATCAGCCACCAGATGGCCTGCGTGCTGGAAACCATCACAACCAGCGACAGGGTGCAGTGTCCCACAAACGTGACAATGTGCTCCTGGGCACACTGGGCTCGGGCCACACGACAGTCCAAGCTGCTGCTCCCTGCCTTTGCAAGCTCTGCAAGGACCCACCACTCTCCGAGCTACGCAGTGGCTGTGAGAATCCTGAACCCCCTAACTCAGGGGCTCACCCACCACAGCTGCCACTGGCCTCACTTTCACCCTGTGCCCTGGCTGCTGCCTCGGAGAGCAGAGCAGCTGCGCCCCAACCTCGGCCTCATCTCGGCTTCTCTTCTGGAGATGAGCTGGGCAGAGGACACCCAGGCCAGAGGCTGGACACACTCAAGGCTCTGCATGTTTCACACACAGTCCTACAGCCATCGTCCTCCCTGCCGTCTCCATTAAACACAGAGGAGCTGCCCTGCTGACCGGCTGAGGGCCTTCCCACCTGGCCGGCACTCTGGACATTTGGCATCTGCCAACTGCTAGGCAATACCCACGTGCTACCATCTTGTAGCTTCCTGACCAAACAAATCCGAATGCTTTATATTCCCTGTTTTAGTAAAAGGCAAAAAATTTATACGATCTGAAAAGGAACCAGAATACATATTCCTTATTTTTAAAAACTGCTACGTTTAAAAAAACAAGCCTCAAACATCTCCCTCCCAAGGTCTCCGTCTCCCTCCAGCCAGAACAAAGGCAAGCAGAGCCCTTCGCTGAGGCCTGCTATACTCCCTGCTGGCAGAACCAACTCCTGGACCACAGACCGCGAAAGGCAGCACAGCCTGGTTCAGCGCATGAAACAGGGGACAGGCCTAGGCACCAGCCCTGGGGCCTGCCGGTCCACATACTTGGAGACGCCTTTGCTGTCTTGTTGCCATGGCAGCAGCAGGTGGCCAGTGGCCGCCCGGTAGCAGTAGACACCCAGCAGGCCAAGTGCCATGGCCACCCTGGACACTGGGGAGCACCGCTGGTGAGCCAGCACGAAGATCGCCAGGAGGCACAGGGCTGCCAGCACGGAGAGCTCGGCTTTGTGATCGGAGCTGAAATGAAACGGAAAGTGCCAAAAATCAGTGACGGGTGTTAACTGCCGGTGTCGTGGGTCTACACCCAGTGGCTTTCTGAGAGCTGCACTGAGACTAGATGGCTCTTCAGAAAAGCAAACAAGAAAACCGTCGGTGACTTCAATCCACGCGGAGGCTCGCACAAGGTAACAAATGAAAGGCTGTTCACATGCTTTACGCCTGGGGCAGGGACCCACAGGAAACCCTGGGCCTTACGCCCCTTTTCGGGACGGTGTACTTTCCCCAGTGCAGGTGCAGGGCAAACCACGTGCTTCCCAGGATGCAGCCCACTCATGGGGACATGCACCTTCTGGTGTGACCCTCTTCCCAGGTGGGGGGCTCCAGAGAGGGTCAGAGGCTCATGGGGCAGCGCTGACTACTCACAGAGCCAGACACACATTAGCTGGAGGTGGTCAGGTGAATGCTCTGCCCAGGTATTTGCACATGTGAGTGAGACGCCTGGGGAAATGCTGAGGACGGACACAGCTGCGGTCAGGACCTAGGTCCTGGGGACAGCAGGTGGCCTGGGACCACGCTGCTCTCAGGGATGGTCGTGTAGGTGTCCATTCTCCGTGGTGGACTGAACTGGACATTTTACACTGTGCCCTGGGTTGCTCAGTGTGACAACTGAGAAGAAGATTGGTCCGCCCCTGGAGCTCTGTTGGGACGGTGGGGTGGGGTCATGTTGCTGCCTCTGCAAACTGGCATGAACAACTTGTTACGACAGGGGAGCCAGGCCTGTACCCACAGGGGTGTCTCTGTGGTGGTAATTGGCAAATTCCCCTGCACAGCAACAGTTTTCCAGAAAAACAAGTGTGTCATGGTGCTGTCCTAGTGGGTGCCATGCTCGGGCTCTGGACACCTGGCAAAGCCACGCTGGGTGGACAGTGCAGCTCCCCTCTGCCCTCACTCCACGTGAGGACAGCAGTGTTCTTGGGGAAGGGCAGCAAGGGGCAGAACTGCACCCTTGCCACAATTATCACTGAGAGCTCACATGTTCTCAGACACCACCGATCACTAGGATTTGGCAGTAAGAGCAAAACACATGAGGCCTCATAGAAGTCCCCCTCGGCATCAGCTTAGGGGCTCGGGCACATTTTCCCCTTCCTTGCAATCTCAGATACCACTTGCGTCCTGAACACGAAGAACAGGCCCACCTTCTGCAGGAGGAGACTGTGAGTGGCCTGCATTCTCACCTGGCGAGCCAGTGCCCCAGGTCGGGGCGGTGGGCCCACTGCACCCCCGTGTGGTTCAGGGACCGAAGCAGCCGGCAGCAGCTGAGCACCAGCCACGGGCTTGCCAGCACCATCCACTTCTCATGGCCATGGGGCGTGTCCCGGTCCAGGTCCAACACATAACGGCGAGCGCTCTCGTCTGGCCGAGTTGGGGCTGCACCAGTGCACCCTCCCGGCCTGCTGCCGTCGTCCCCCGGGAAGCAGTGTCTGCAGATGTCGTGACCCAGGGCCAGACACAGAGTGTTGACAAGGAAGTACCAGGTCTGGTGCTCCTCCTCCACGAAGCTGCTCGAGCCCAGACTTGCGGCATGGCCCAGTGTCCCCAGCAAGATGAGGAGACCTAACTCTGACCGCCTGGAGCCGGCATGAGCTAGACTCTGTAAAGAGGAATATGCACCGCGTAAGGGGAAACCCTAAACGTCGCACGAATCCTGAGCCACATGCTGAAAGTTGTTGATCACAGTACACAGCCCACGGGGGCAGCTGCCGCATGTTCCTCGTGCCCCCCTCAACTTTGCTGAGATGGCCTGTTCCCCTCGGCACGTGCAGGGGACACAGGCCTGAACAGGACGCCCGTCCAAGGCCAAGTGGCAATGAGATGGTGGACGTTTAGACCCGAACCACTTGGCGCTGCCAGGCTGCAGAGAGCTCAACCTACCAAGCCGTCAGAGGGCCACTGCCAGATCCTGCTACCGGATAGTTCCCACTAAGCCAGACCCCCGATGTCTCCATGAATTTTCCAGAAACCCAGAAAGTTTACACTAAAACGATCTATTCTACTGAAACGATTAAGTTGGCATCACAGCACCGTCCCTTAAATGCACCATCTAAAAGGAAGATGAGCACTCGGTGACCATCACCAGGTAGCTCCTCATGTCGATTCCATGTGTGTCCAGCTGGGAAATGGCAGGTGGACACTGTCGGGCCCGGGGAAAGCCTGCTCTCCCAGCACCGCTCAGGCCCCTCAGACACGGCTGGGAAGGGCAGCGGCTCTGTGCTGGGTCCCCTGGGCGCTGGGACCATCCGCCTGCCCACCTCTCCCTCACAACCCTGCCAGAACAGCCGGTGAGGGGCGAGAGGCGCAAGGCTCTGAGCGCCCGGACAGAAAGCACCCACCTGGAAAAGGAGGCTGTGCCGCATGAGGCAGGAAGGGGTCTGGGGAGGGCAAAACTCCCACGGGGCTGAGCTTCTTCCTGCCTCCCCTAGCCGCACCCCCGTTGCCATTGGAGCCGGGTGGACGCGCACGCTTCCCCGTCAGCCAGCTGCCTACCCACCTGTGACCCGCAGCTCTGTGCAGCCCCCATGTGACAGTCACAGGCACAGAGGCACTGACTTCCCCACCCAAGACGGGGCCTGGGACCTAGTGCTCAGGGACAGGCTGCCCTTACGGGCCTTTCCTCACCAGCCAGTGCTGCCAGGGAGTGACGGACTGACTAAAGCAACCAAAGATGGCGTCGCACCTGCGGGGACCAGTCTTACCCTCCTCAGGGGCTCTCCACCCACGAGCGTCCTGGTCAGGGCAGACACGACTGCGCAGAACAGGGCAGAGATGAGTGCCAGCACTGCCGCCGCGGCTGGCCACGCGAGGCTGCAGAAGTAGCAGGAGCTCTCGGCTGAAGTGCAGACAATGACATGCACGGCCCAGAGCAGCAGGAGTGTCAAATAGAAGAGCAGACAGAACACAGGTGATGACAGGGGCGCGTCCAGCTCGGCAGCGGCACCCAGTGCCTGGGGGATGCTGAGCAGGAGCAGGGCAAGGACCTGGAACAGGACAGCAGGGCATGTTCACGACTGTGGGGCTTGTGGGCGCTGCCTGGACGCACGCCTGCCGTGGTGTGCTCAGGGACACGCAGGAATGCACAGCAAACTCCTACACCAACGTTACACATTCTCTAAACCAGAACACCCTGGCCGGGTCACCGTGTCAGTCCCACGGCTGAGCCGCACTGCCACGCGGGCACGTACCTCCAGCACCACGACGGCCCCCACCACCATGGAGTAGACGTCGTAGTGGGCGCCCTGTGTGCTCAGGGACAGGCTCAGGGTCCTCAAGGCATCCGAGTACTGCCTGCGGACCTTGTGTCCTAGGCTGAGGAGGACTTCGGACCGGCTGTCCTCCAGGTACAGGCGAACCCAGCTGGCGTGCAGCCTTTCTGACATTTGAAACTGCTCGAACCCAGGCTCTGCGGGAGGAGGGTCACACAGACAGGGTGCACCCTGCGTAGGCAGGTCAAGCTCCAACTGCCGGGTGCAGGGACGCCGCCCGACTCACCTCTCTGGTAGGAAGGCACATTCTCCCGCAGCAGCCTGCTGAGCTGCACCGCATTCAGATGCAGGAGCCTCAGCTGCTCCCGCATCGCTCTCCCCGCCACGACGGGGAGCGGGAGGCAGCCCACGCTGTGCTTCGGAATGCGCAGACCAAGCCCGACTGCGAGTGTCACAGCCACATCTGTCTGCTGGACGCGCTGTGGCTGCCTGACGTCACCTGGGGAAGAAGCCGTGTGGGTGACAGGTTCTAGGACACACAGGATGGCAGTCATTCTCCAGCTTGACCTCCGCAATGAACGTCAGTCACAGCGCCCATCCCTCTGAACCCTTCCCTGTGGGTTCGCGTGGAACACACTGGCCGCCTGAGGTCAGTAAACTGACTGAACACCCACTGGGAGGGTGCGCTGCCTTCCCTGGACCCGCGTGTGATGCCTGGGGGGATCCAGCCCACACACACGCAGCACTGAGTGAGCTCCTCAGTGGGGCATGGCGCAGGGTGAGCAGGTGGCCCAGCAGATGCTCACCTAATAAACGGCCCCTTCAGCAAAGTCAACAAACCCTTGAGAAGGGCGATGGCTGCTCTGGTGGCCCTAGGACTCCGACTGATCCCCATGGCCCCATGAAGCACCTACCACCTTCCTGCCGACTCCTGAGCAGCGGTAGGGGACTGCTACGAGGGGAGCGTGTCCCGGAGCCGGCCTGTGGCCGGCCTGAAGTGCTCCCAGCACCAACAGAGGCTAGCTGTCCCCACCCTAGTAACTCCTGTGAGGAGGTGGGTGTGACCCAGGACACTGGGCTCCAGCCCCAGCTCTGCACCTCCAGTGCAGGGCCTCAGACAAGAAGGTCCACGCAGCCCTGGCTGGTGTGGCTCAGTGGACTGAGTGCTGGACTGCGAACCAAAGGGTCATTGGTTGGATTCCCAGTCAGGACACAGGCCTGGGTTGTGGGCCAGGTCCCCAGTAGGGGGCGCATGAGAGGCAACCACATATCGATCGATGTTTCTTTCTCTTCCTCCCAGCCTTGCCATCTCTGTAAAAACAAATAATTTTAAAAAAAAGCTCCGCACAGGCAGCATCCTGCCTGTGCAGCAGGCCCTGGGCCCCCGGCCCCTGCGCCCCAAGAGCTTCTGCGCAGGCTGCCAGGGGCTGTGGAACCACCAGCAGAGCCCGCTGGGGGTCTCGCGGACGCCGCAGTGTGAACTTGTACACAACCAGCACTGTCTGTGGTACTTGTCAGTTACACCGAATTTTTCTTTTTAATTGAGTCAAACTTATGATCTCTTCTTGACTGACTCTCCCCTGACGGCCCCTGGGTGGACTTGGAAAGAGGTTTTCTCTCCGAGGTCAATGAGTTTTCCCTGTAGCGTTCCTACATTAAGAGCACTGGTCTGAAACAAACTGAACCCCAAAGAAGAAGCCCCCTTTAGGAACTGGCAAAGGGCGCTGGGCCGGCTGTTGTTCCGAGGCCCCAGAGTGCAGGGACCCTGAGTGTGGAACTACGGATGTGGTTTCTGCTGTCCGTTGCCCCACAGAGAAGTGTGTTTGGCGGATGTGGCCCAGAGCAGGGAAGTGGCCAAAGCTGTGCTGGGGAACAAACGGCGCCACGCGAGAACACGTCTACGCAGAAACATGTTCACAGACGCTCACACGAAGCCAAAGTGTGGGAACAAGTGGCCGTCGCCTGATGGACAGACGAGAGGTGCAAGGAAGAGGTGCGGAGACCGGGTGCACACAGCACCGCGTGTGGGCCTTGAAACCAGTGTCCAGCCACACGAGACCACACGTGCCTGGACTTCTCGTCCAGGATGCTCGGAGAAGTTAAATCTGATAGAGGCAGAAAGACAGCCGGGTGGGGGTGGGCACCCCGGGCTGGCGGAGGTGGTGCGTGGCCACTGAGAAAGAAGGTAACGAGATGTAGGAGCGGCACTGATGCTGCCCATCTCCGCATGAACTGGAAGCGGAGCGGTCCTGGCTCCTGCAGTGAGTGTTCCATGAGGACGGTTGTTCTTGGAGCAAACGCACAAAGTAAAACACAACACTGGAACCACTGCTGGCACTGTCAGGCGTCAAGAAGCCCCCAAGGCCCTCCTGGCCACGGGGACGAGGTCAGGCCTCCAGGCGGGAGGGGACTATGAGATGCACACTTCAGGCAGACAACAGTCACAATCCCTGACAGCAGCACCCACCAGCTCAGCTGCCTGTTCTCCTCCCAAACAGGTTGGTCCAGTGCAGGTCACTGCACTCCTGGACCTGCAGGTCCAGGAGCAGGAGCAGGAGCTCAGTAACCTGCACTGGTGAACAAGTGGCTGGGAGAGAAGGTGGGTTTGTGCCCGGGCTCTTACTCTGCCCGGCGGCAACGTGAACCCTGCTGTGCCCTGAGTGGGGAACAGCGGGGTGGAGAGGCCAGTGCTTTTTGGTGGGTGCTGTGCCCGCTCACCGGAAGGCAGGCTCCTGCAGTGCTGGCTGATGCTGAGGATCCAGGCGAAGCTGCCACAGGGTCTTTGGAAATCACAGTGAGCTGCCATCAAGCCAGAGAAGTGAGGAGGCAAAAGCAGGCTCCTGTGGAGGGTGAGGGTAAGGGCTGGAGGGCTGGAGGGCTGGAGGGCTGGTGTGCGGGTGGATGCGGAGCTGGGTGTGACAGTGTCCACAGATGGGTCCTATGCCTCTTGCTGACGCAGCAGTTCCAGCAACGGACACTGCTCACAGAGCTGCAGTGTCTGTGTCCGTTTCAGTTCACACACGTGGCTTGGGTGCCTCTGAGCTGCCAGTTCCAGAGACCTGGGCACTGACGTGCACACGATGCAATTCCCACCAAGGGTGTTTGTGTTGTAAGAATCAGGGAAAGAGACCTCCCCTTCCAACACTGACTGCCACCTGCCCCACTGGTGTTCATCCTACCATTACTCAGCTTGGTATTTGAACCTTGGCTTCCCAATACAGTTTTTAAAGTTAAAACCAGACTATATGGAGCAGAAATGAAACAGTTCCAACATGTCAATCGTCCCTAACTTCTCACCGGGCTTCCTCTCAAAGGCAGAGCTGATCAGGAGCAGAGCCGTGTTCACTTCCTCCACAGAAGAGGCCCCATGGCCTCCGCGCTCAGCCATGCCGTGGTCGCCACAAAGGACCAGCAAACTGGGCGAAGGCATCTCTTTCTCCTAGAAAGCAAAGGAACACAGTTCAACTGTGTGCATACTGAGAACACGTAATCTTGTTCAGACATCAACTTTAGATTTTAGCTTTATGAAGTTGCCCTTTCTAAATTAGCTGTTTTTCCTTTTTACCTATGAGCTTATAGTCAGATCAAAGGGTCAGTCACATATCATACGTGAAACAGACACAATCACATGAGGGTCACACAGCACAGGAGGCTCGGACCAGGGCCTCTCGGGGCCCAGGGTGTGGGTCTGGACTTCTTTGCCCCCCCCCCCCCAGAGGTGAGCACGGGGACACGTCACTCTGCGTGCTTTGGGGTCCTCCTCTGTCCCACGCAGCTGCCTCCCTGATCCAGCAGCCAGCCAACAACCCCTGCCCCAGCAGGCCCAGCCTCGCCCTGGCTCTTGGCCTGGGGAAGGCCTGTCCGCCCTCATTCCCCTCCAGCCTCCACTCACATCCCACGTTGTCTACTCTGATTGCAGTGTTGAAAACCACCACCTCTCAGGGCCATCCCCACCCCCTGGCCTGGCTCTCCTGTGGCACCTTCCAGAACACCTCTGCACTCAGTTATGGGCCTCTTGTTTGCCCCCTGGCTGCAGCGTAAGTTCCACAGTGACCCAGGCAGGCAGGCAGGCAGGGATACAGGACACGTCTGGGAAATGAGCTGGATAAACGATGATGGCAGAGATGGAGTCAGTGCCAGTGACCCCACAGGGCGGCCACCTGCGGTCATGGTCCCACTTCAGTTCTAGGGGACGTGGGCACTTGGATGTCCGAGCCCCATGATGCACTGCGGTTCAGCTCACCTGTGAGAGCAGCGAGGTGTGGATCCTCATCAGGATGCTGTCCATCTCGCCCAGCTTGCGCCCAATCAATGGGCTGTGGGGCCCGGAAACGTGGCCGATGTGGTCCAGCCCCAAGTAGTGGAGGATCAGCACGTCCCAGTCCCCTCTCTTCAGGACTGTATCCAGATGCCTCGTGACATTGTCATCCACCTTAAAGGGAGGAAGTGCACAGGACAAGCCCCCTGGCCTCCCTTCCACTGCATTCCCCAAGAAAACACTGCAGGACTGTCACAAACTCCTGAGTTCATTTTAGGTGACAGGACTTGGAGCAGTTTGAAAAGACCGAGAAAAGATAAAACCTTCCGTAAGAACTAAACATCAGCATGAGATTAAGGTTCCACTAACACTGTTGTTCTGCCTCTAGGTTACAGACAGGACACACTGCGCAGGTCATGTGAACGAGCAAGGTGTGTTCTGAGAGATTCTGTGGGACTGTTGCTCAGGCCTGAGCGGATGACCAAATCACACAGGTGCTCAGTCACCACAAGGTGATGGGGGGCACAGGGCAGAGAGTGAAGACGAGAGAGGAGCCAGAGCCCGAGCAACCACAGGGGAAGCGGAGGGACCGTGCGGGCACCTGCCAGAAAACTGTTCTGGGAGGAAGAGACACGCACTCCACGGGGAGCCATCGACTGGCCCCGAGAGAGGCATCAGCCCCTCAGCCTGGACCCCTCTCCCTCCCACAGAAAAGCCTACGACAATGAAAAGGTGTCTGCGTGATCGGACCCAGGATGGGGAGACCCAGTCACAGCTTTTCCGTACTGTGGCGCTTGCACAGATCACTACAGCCAAGGGCATCGGCGTGAGCAGGCCTGCGGGTGCCCCACCAGGACCAGCAAAGGGACAGGAGTGACTCTGCGAGACTGTCCACCCCCAGGCCAAGTTCAGACACGTGGGTGTCCCTGCCCCGTGGGTCTCCCCTGTGCACCCAGGCTCCACTTTCCAACTCGGGCTATAAGCCCAGCCTTGGGCAGATGCCCCTCAGCACCAGGCCAGCCCTCGCCCTCCCATGTCCCATGCCACCCCACTCACAGAAGAACTGGGGGTCCCTGGCAGCCCTCAGGCTGTGCCTTGGATAGGTGTGGGCACCTGCTATCCTCCTCGGAAGTCCACACTCACCCATAAGACCCAGCTCAAATGTCTCCTTGCCGGGAAGCCCCTTGGGATCCTACATACATGTGTCCACGGGGACTCAGCTGTTGTAGCCTGTGGGCTCCCGAGAACTATCCTCACCCTGGCATCAGGGTCTCTGCCCCCAGTTGTGACTGTGAGTGCGCATGAGCCGCACTGGCACTATCTCCATGCCACTCCCAGCACCGTGACGCAGGACGGCCAACGCTCCTGCTCTATCTGCAGTGACTTACGTTCTTACTGTGGAAACTGACCTCTGTGTAATCGGACACAAAAAACGAGGTGGTTCCATCATATTCCACAAAATGCCGTGGGAATAATTTCACCCACATCTCATCCCCATAGAAGATGATCCTCCGCCCCGAGGCCCAGGCCTGCGTGATCACGTTGTCTTCCAGCAGCGCAGGGGAGTTGAGGTTCCTGACCACGTCGATGAAGCCCGGGAGGCTCCCCGTCATCAGGGCCTGCAGGAGGGGACACACCCGATTAGACTCCAGGGTGCAGAGCACAGACGGGAAGCGAAGCGGTGCCGCGGACCACAATGCAGACAAAGGACGCAGGCACAGAACGAGGCTGCCAGAGGCTGGGTCGGCATTAGAACAGGGGAGGCTACACGTGGGTTCCGGGGCAAACCAGAAAGCTCCATCGTGAGCACTTGACCACAGCTCGGCTAAGGAGAGGCTACGGGAGGAGGACGTGGGTAGCTGGATGACTGTGGTGGCCAGAGGACAAGCTATGGATTCTACAAACCAAAGCAAGTGGGTAAGTGTAGGACCTGCTGAGAACATAAACCTCTATGTTCTAACCCATCATCAGCTTCAAATCTGGAAACTCTATGTACTGGCAGAAAAACCAGAGATTCTAACGTCCACCCCAAGGGAAGAAGCAGCTCCTCACACATGTAGGAGGACAGTGGTCTCGGAATGAGAATTCGCAGGGATACTCAGAGTAAACTGGCCCATGGATGCAGGTGCTCCCCAACCCCCCCAGTCTGATGTGGCCCCGTAGTTTCTGGGAGGAGAGGGTGGGTATGAGGCCCCTCACCCCTCGCTGCTCGAGGCGTAAGACAGCGGCCTCCCCCACTCAGCACACAGTCTGAGAGGTCACAGGATGGGTCACGGTCCCCATGCTCTGGACTTTCCAACGACCCACAACGCTAGCGTCCAGGGACCCGTGCAATGAAAACACACGGGGACCTGAATCATGCCAAAGACATTAAAATTCTGCCAAGACCTTTTTAACAGCAAGAGCAAAGGTGAATTTACCGAACGCCTGGAAGGCAAGCAAGAAGCTCAACAAATCTTCTCCACCAAGAGCAATGATAAAATTGGACTAAACGGTCAAAAACCACCATTTGTGGACTTCGAAAACTCGCAAGGACAGAAAATGGACAACCAATCAAGAACAGCTTCCTCCAGACAAAGCACTGAAGCTCTGTGAGCACACAGGGCACCTGTGGCGTTTCCCACGGTCCACCCACCCCCAGCCTCGCGCTGCAGCAGCCGAGGGGGGGCTCATTGGGAGGTAGGTCTGTGGAACAGCGCCACACCAGGGGTGTGAAATAACAGGAATTCACAGCTGCCTAAGGCTCCACACTGGTTGTGGTAAGATATCAGCCCAAAACTGAACAGGGCATCTGGGGAGTGAGACAGGTATAAGCCCCCAGATATCCCTGGATCCATAAGGCTGCGTGTCCATCCACTCAGAGATGCTAGGGAGGGCCCAGTTACCAGATCCTTCTGGCTGAACAGGGTCCCTGTTCAAAGAGAGGGTGGGAGTTGGGGAAGACGTAGAAATGCCCAGGCCGGGAGTACGTTGCCCATCCCACATGTGACCCCGCAGACGGGGGGGGGGGGGGGGCTTCATGGCGTAGGGTATTTATGCACAATCTTTCACCAATCGCTGGCCTATCCTGACCTGGGGGCCCTTAGAGAAAGTAGCCTGAAAATAAAAACAAGGATTAGGAAGTGACCCAGCACAGACACCAGCTACTGCACACTTGGGGAGACCTCTAAACGCAGTTCAGGCGAGTAACACCCACAAACAAAATGACCAGAACACCCACCACCCCTGGGTGGGGATCACAAGCGGAATTGAAAGACATGGATGTGCACATGTTGAATTTCACCCTCAGCACACACACACAGGTACAAAAATTCTATCTCAATACACTTTTTTCTTAAAAAGTGACCTTTTCTCTTACCCCCAAATTCTGCTCACTAAAGAGAACCAGTTACTTTTGGTGAATCCCTTTTCATACTTTTTTCCGTATGTGTACAATCACAAACATACAAGACAGATTTACACCCAAATGGTAACAAACTACACAAATAATTCTGCAACTTGCTTTTGTTTACCAATGAACAGATCAGCTGTTATATGTGTATTTAATACTTGAGTATACAATACATTTAACATATGTGACCAAGACCATTTTAATAGACATTTACTTTGAAAGCCTTCCCCCGATCAAGCTGTCTGAGCTGAGACCCGGAGCCAGAAGGGCTGTCAGGGCAGCGAACACGAGTAACTGTGAAGGCTGTAGGGGACAGTACCTAGCACACAGGGGAGTGGAGCTGTGTGTGATCACCAAGGAGGGAGAACAGTTCGGATGGAGGCAGAGAGGGGAACGAGGCGGGAGCACAGTCCCCAGCCTGGGTGCAGAGGCCCGGGGGGCACCTCGGACCAGACAAGGGTGGCGGCTGAGCCCAGTGATGTCCACGGTGTTAAGGCACCTATTCACCTCATTTCTCGTCAAGAGGAGGTTATCATCAATTTTGAAATATTTACAAGGTGATAGACAAAATCTGGCCTTATGGATGGTTCTCGTTTGCCTTGCTATAATCACTCGTGAAGTTAAGAATCTTTTCCCATGTTCATTGGCCATTTTGATTTCTTCCCTTGTTGATTTCTTCATGTCCTGTGTCCAGCTGCCACTGGACTGCTGTGCCTGATTGGATCCTCTTTATGTGTCACGGGCTTAGCATCTTGTTTTTTATGTCAACTGTAAATAACTTTTCCAGAATATTGTTTGTCTGCTGACTGTTTATAATGTCCCGTTTTCATGTAGTCAAATCTGTCCATCATTCTTCTGGGGCTTTTACAAGGTGCTTCCCCTCCTTCTCACAATAACTTGGGCTCCCACTGGTACTTTAAGGAAGGCAGGGATAGTGTGGCAGTCCCTTCACCAAGGGTGCATGCAGGTAGTCACTGAGTTGCAGCTGGGGGTCATGAAGTGTGAGAGCTCAAGTCTGTCATGTCTGGAGATCTCCTGTGGTGGCTGTGGCCTTGGGAATAGTAGCTTCTTGCCTTGGAGAGGAAGGAGGACTGGAAAAGATAACTGAAAAAGGACGTGCTTTGGGCCCCTATTCTGCCGTGTGCTACAGCGTGATCAACAGAGACTGGTTCCAGAGTCTCATGCTGCAGTTCCCAATTCCAGTGGTGTAATTTTGGCACTTCAAGCCTGTTTCCTTGTCTGGAAAATGGTCCTTATTTGTTCAATAAATAGTTCTTGAACCAATCAATAAAGCTTTAGTCTTTTCTTTGCCCACAGTTCTTAGGTTAAGCACTGTGCACTTCAAAGCCACCCTTGCTAGGCTGAACACCCAAAGGTGTTTTCCAGAGCAGGGACAGTGAGACCTGCTCCAGCGCAATCATGATGGACTGGTCACTGTGCGTGCTCCCCGGCTGGACAAGGCTGAATTTCCTTCCTCACCTGCAAAGTCAGGAGACTGAACTAGATAACTCTGAAGGCTTTCCAGGGTTGTACCTGACTTAATGTCAATGACAGAAAAGAGGTTAGCAAGGGGGATGGCACCTCTGAGAGCAAGCTGGCCTGGATGACTGGGCGCTAAATCCTTCGTGCTTCCCGGCAAGTATGGGCTCTGGGTGTTTGCAAAGGGGTGCACATCGTGGGTCTCAGATCCAGCTTGTCTGTCTGTCTTTGCCCTGCTCTCCTGCCCAGCCAGGTGGACCACACAGTTAAAACTTGGACAAGTAAGACTACAGAGAGCCCCTCTACACCTCTTAAACAGCCAAACCATGATTTATAAAACATTAAGTCAAACTGTTTACCTTGATTCGAGGCATAGTCACTGTAGGTGGCTTGGCTTCAGCCACAAAACTGTGAGATGCTCCTTTTTCCACAAGGTAAGTTGTATACGGCATGAACTTCACCCCCTTTGACCCAAACACAAAATCGTCTCTCAAGCCGTCTATCAGCATAATGACAACTTTACTGAAAAGAGGAGGTGGGCGGCTGGTCCAATTGGAAGTGGCTCCTAGAAAAAAGTAAATTGAATTTTAAACTTCATTTAGCATTCAATCACCTATAATCCAGTTTCTGCCTTTCTCTGGCACATAACTTGACACACCTGTAAGTACCAACCCCAGAAAAAAGCGCACAGTGCAGGCAAGGGGGGGCATTCCGAGTAAGCCCAGAGAGCCCAGGTACTATGCAATCAGTTGCCCTTGGCATGGTGGGGATTATAGGACCGGGGAGTCTCTTCCTGAGGGCCTGAGGCATCTAGGAAACTTGACCTAGAATAAAAGTCCGTCAGTGAATGAAAACATTTACAAACTGTGTGAACTTAGTCAGGGACTCCTGTTGTCCAAAACAGGAGCTCCTCTACATAGTATGTTCTGCTGTAGGTGAGAACCAGGAAGGGGTCCATGCGGGGCGATCTTCCATGCTGCCTGGTTAACAGGTGTTGGAGAAATGTTAAAAAAAAAAAAAAGAAGAAGAAGAAGAAAGAAAGCAGAAATCTTTATCTGTTGCGACTTATTGAGCAAAAAAAGTTGCCGGGAAGAGAGTGGCTGAGTTGGCTCAGAAAAGGGATGCGGGCGTCCAGGCAGGAGAGCCGGAGTGACGCGTGGGCCCGCCGCGGGAAGCTTACTTTTCGGAGACCAAGGAGGGTTGAAGTGAGGCTGATAGTTGAGGTTGCCAAGTCATAGGGAAAAGAGGGCGGGAGCGGCAAGGGGTCCTGGGCTAGGGACCAGGATGGAAGAGCCCGAGAGTAGGGACCCAGGGAGCGGGACGCCGGGAAGGGATCTGTACCTGCCAAGGGCTCGGGCGCGGGGGACTCGGCGTGGTGCTCCGTCCCGGAAGAGGAACGCACAGGAGCCGGGAAGAATCCACGAAGGAAAAGCGCGACCCCGAGCACCTCGATCACTACGCAGCCTGCAACGAAGGTGCCGGAACCCAGCCTCATCGCGCGCTCGCGCCGGGCGGGACCCGGGTCCCGGAGCCCAGGCCGAGCAGCCCAGCGAGAGCTGCTGCGGGCTGTAGAGCCAACGAGCCAAGGACCCGTGCCGGCCGCCCGGCGGTCACGCACCGGCGCGCCGGAAGTACGCACTGAGGGGACGGGCACTTTCGTGCACGGGGGCGGGGCCTGTGTTGAGGCCTTACGTACTTCCGGCGCTGGCCCCAATCCCCACATCGGCTCCGCCCACCCGCGAACCTCCGATAGTAATTAATGTTCCGCACGGAAATTCCATAGACTGTAAAAGGCGAAAGGACTTTTCCCCCTTTTCTAGGTTTTTCACTAACTCCCAGTCCGCTTAGAACCAGGTAATGTTTCTTCAAAACGAAATCCCTGTTGAAGTGTAAATGGCTTCAGAGTTTTGTGTAGTGGCTGACACACAAACACCGTCAGCGATCGCTGATCCACCCCACTCCGTGAACACGCCCTGCCGCCAGCACCGAGTCTCAGAGTCCCGCTCCGGCTCTCCCGCTTCAGGATTTGGGAATTATTTCACAGTAGAAAATTCTGGATCCGGGTGTTTCTGTTCTAGTCGTAAAAGCTGCGTGTGATCACGTCCGGTGGAAAGATGCGTGCGCACGGTTCTATGTGGCTCCAGACCCCTCCCGTGTCTCCTACCAACGTCCCACAGCGACTGCCCCTCGGTGGTCCACTGGTCTACTCAGCCATCACTGCAGGCAGCATTGCGGACCGCCACACGGCTTCTGAGAGTCTTCTCAGGGTTTCCTGATCACGAGGGGGCGTGTTCTGAACATTGCTTCCCTAAAAACCTTGGATCTTCAGGAGGGAATTAAGGTTAAATGAGTTCCTAAGCGTGGGCTCCTAACCCAGATGTCAAGACAGGGTCATCGGATGTGTGATCTTCCACGAAGATATTCATATTCATTCATTCTCATTCATTTTCTCTCTCTCTCTCTCTCTCTCTCTCTCTCTCTCTCTCTCTCTCTCTCTCCCCGCTTGAAGACAAGACAGAGGCCATGTGAGTGCAGTCAGATGGCTGCATACAAGCTAAGAGAGGCTTCAGTGGGAACTCCGCTTCCTCGGTGCTTTGGAGCTCCCAGCCTCTGGAGCAGTGAGGAGCAAACACCTGCTGCAGGCCATCCAGTCCGTGGTTAAGTCGTCACAGCCACCCGAGCTGGCTTGGCCCCAGAGAGCTGAAAACTGGTGCTCACATAAGTGCGCATAAGAGCCTGTTCACAGCAGCCACAAGGCAGAAACAGACCAAACACCCACCAATGGCAAGAGGATAAACAGATTGTTGTGTATATATACTATGGATCATTATTCAGTCATAAAAAGGAATGAAGTACATGATACATGGATATATATACATGTATTAGAAAACATTAGATAAGTGACAGACACAAAAGGTGACAATTGTATTATTCCATTTATAATATGCAATGTCCAGAAGACACAAATCCAGAGTCAGAATACAGACTCCTATCTGCCAGGGACTGAAGGGAGAAACTGCTCAATGAACAGAGGGTTTCCCTTTCAAGTGATGGAAACGTTTAGAACTAGAGGTAATAGTTGCTCCACATTGTAACTGTATATATGGCACTGTATTGGTTACTGTAAAATGGTTAATTTTGTTACATAAATTCCACTTTAAAGGAGTTCAGGGGTGACGTTCCTTGTGTGGGTCAGGGCGAGGGTGGGATGAACTTTAAGAAGCAGGTGAATCTGAGCAGCGTTGGGGTGTTGGCTGTGGCCACCTCGTAGCTGCCTTGGTCCCGTCCAGCCTGCTGAGAGCGCTGCCCTGGTAGGTATGTGAATACCTGCTTCCTCAGGCCCCGCCTCTAGGGATCCTGATGCGAGATGGTTCTGTGAAACCAACACAGATGGTGAATGGTAGGGTGCTCTTCACGGCAGACCCTGCGGGGAGGGACTGGTCCCTCATTTGTTCTCAAGACCTGGGGCGGACCTCTTCCCTATGTCAAGGGTGCTTGCTGGGGCTGGTCCTCTCAGCCTGAAGTACAGGAGGGGCTCACGGTGGAAGTGTCGGCGTCAGGCTGGAGGACTGGAGAGGCCTCCTTCTGAGACTCAGGAGGGGGCTGGGCTCAGGGGTGACCGGGCTGCTCGGAACCCCACCTCCCTCTGGGGGTATTGGAGGCAGGTCCCATGCAGCAGGCTGGGGCACCCCTGGCCTCAGAGGAGGGTCCAAGAGAAGTCCCTGGAGACACATCTGAAGCAGGGAGAGGTCACTTCCTGAAGGAAGGGGGGAGTGAGCACAGAGCACCAAAGGCCAGCACAGAGCTGATCTGGGATGGCTGGGACCCCTCCCAGCTCTTCCGCCCCCAGATGCTGGGAATGCTAGCCTCCAAGCCCAGCTTCCGGCATGGCACGGCCCTCATTGCCTCACCCTGTCACCCTCTTTGGTTTTGTCCCTTTACACAGACTAGTTAAAATTTTGGTAGATTTCAAAGGCTCTTGTGCTTAAGGGATACTAGGGCCTGAGAACAGAGCCCAGGAGTTCAGAGGCAGGCCCTAAAGGACACAGGTTAACATGAATCTTCTCCCCTGTCCTGGCTCTTCCGATGGTTGAGTTGTATCCCGTTGTGACACAGTTCCCTGGCTGTGGGCACCTGGTGGAAGGCTGTGTTCTGGACAGAGAGTGAAACCTGGGAGGGAGGGTCCTCTCAGTCCCAGCCTCTGCCCCCAGTGAGGGCACCAGGTGGTGGTCATGGGAGGCCTTGGGAGCCCCCTCAGCACTGCTGGGCCCCTGTCCCCCCAGCCCTCAGGCCAGACTTGCCCTGAACCTGTACCTGCCTCCCAGCTGGGCTCGTACCATGATGCAGGTATGGGCCTTGTGGCAGTAGGAAGCGTGCATGCTCCCGGCCTGCTGTGTCCCAAAAGACTGCAACTCGAACACAGCTCTGACCACCTGACAGGAGCTGGAGGACAGAGATGCCATGCGCCTCCACGCAGGTCTCTGCAGAGGCTCGGGGACCCCACAATGTGCAGGTGTGTGTTGTCAGGACCTGAGCAGCCTGTGTGTGCCCCACAGGCCTGTGCACCACTGTGTGCATGTGGGCAGGTGAGTGGAGACATGGTCCAGGGGAATGGAGAATGCAGACAAGAAGCCCAAGAGGAAGAAGGCAAGTGCCCCCTCTCTCCATCCCACAACATGCAGAGCTCTCCAAGGCCAAAACCAGGTCAAAGTCCCTGTGGGGTGACTGCAGATGGTGGCCACGGCCGGGCAGGATGTGAAACCTGGCCAGGGGCGGGGTGTCGTTTTACCGACAGTCGGAACCCTATGGGGAAGAAGATACTGAGACCACGCTGCTCTTTCTGCACACCGGCTAGCTGAGAAGCCCAGGCCAGAGCACAGGAACCAGCCCTGTGCTGCCTCCCCCGCCAGGCCTCCAGGCCCTCAGTGTCCTCCCTTCCAACCCCGTCCCCTGCCTCAGCATCAGAGGAACCGGCCTTGTCACTCACCCACAAGCACCATCCCGCCGTCCACCATGGCTGTGTGCTTTGTACAGGGTCAGGGAGTAGGTGGACAGCTGCTGGGGCCGACTGCTACCGGGTTAAGGAGTGAGGATGCACAAGGGAGGGAAGCAGGGGCAGAACGGGCCCTCTCTCCTTTTCTTTTCAGCATTATTTAGATTTTACACTGAAAGGATGTTGGGTCAGGGGATCAGCCTCAGGTGTCTCTGGCACCAGCTCCCTGGAAGGTCAGGGGTGGGCACAGCTGGCAGGCACAGCCACCTAGGTCCAGGGGACCCTGGAGCAGAATTTCACCGACTGGCTGTCGTAAATGCCATCATGTGCTTGGAAATTGCAACTTGGGCGAGACAGATGCTCCAGAAAGAAAGCCTGCACAGGCCAGCAGTGGACCAGCTGGGACCTATCATCTGCCTGGGTGTGAGCCCCACGAGAACACTGGGGACAGCCCTATGCAATGCTGCCAGATGCTGGGTGGGGGACCCTGTGAAGCCGGAACATGTAAGGGGGTGGAGGCGAGACCTGATGGGAGGTGTGGTACGACACACTCCGACTGCCTGGGACTCGCCGTGCCCAATTCTCACAGCATACAGCTCGCTGCTGCGACCGTGAGCACCACCATGCGGGGCTGAGGTCTGTGCTGTCCACCTCTGCACACAGTGGGCACCACGGCCACCCCTGCTCTGCCCATGGGACGCTGAGGCCGGGGGCTGTGCCCTTGGCCTGAAAGCTGATCCCCAGCATTGTGTGGGTCTTCCTGGGCCGGGTTCAGGTGTCACCTGAGCACTGTGACCTTACCCAGCACCAAGCTTGCTGTCACCGTGTGCTCAATCACCACCTTGCAGGCGACACCTGCTGAAACAGCAGTCTCTCCCTTGACTCTCTCTCAGGTAGAGGGGATGCTCATGAAAGCAGGATCTGAATGTTTTCTGTATTACTGCATCCCGGGGCCTAGGCCAAAAATGTGTGGACTCTAACCACCACCCAAACACCATGGAAAAACCAGCGGCCTCCATCCCCACAAGTAAAGGCTGAGTGACGGGCCTAGACTTCCTCACTTCTGAGACTGTGACGAGGCTCCCAAACACAGCCCTAAGCCGGTGGGTGTCCAACAAAGCCAAGCGGGAAGCAGACTCCTCCCTCCTACAGTATCAGCTGAGACCAGAGCAGTCAGGGGTGGTGGGCATGTGTGGTGCGGCTCCTCGGTTAAATAACATGAAGTTCGGCATGTCCAAGTTCCAGCGAAAAACCATTCCTCATACCAAGAACCAGGAAACCCTCCAACAGGATGCAGCGCCCTGGCTGGTGTGGCTCAGTGGACTGAGTGCTGGCCTGTGAACCAAAAGGTTGCTGGTTCAATCCCCAGTCAGGGCACAGGCCTGGGCTGCAGGCCAGGTCCCTAGCTAGGGGCATGCTAGAGGCAACCGATCAACGTTTCTCTTGTACTTCGATGTTTCTCTCCTCTTTCTCCCTCCATTCCTTTCTCTCTAAAAAAAAGAAAAAAAGGGTAAAATGACAACCTGCAGGCGCCACCACTGTGAGGGTCCAGATGTTAGTCATCTGACAAGGCTGCTGAAGTAGCTTCATTAAAACGCACCACTGGGCGACGGCAGATGTGCTGGAGGGAAATGGAAATACACAACACTTCTTCAAAGGGCTATTTTTCTGCACAGAAATAGGAGACTACACAGAAAGTAAAGACCCAATG